CCAATCATTTTTTGGGGGGAAAACTGATTTGAAAAAGCATTTTTACAGCCTGAAAATTTATTTCTTGGCACTTACGTAGAGAAGCATATAGGGCTGTCATGACAAAAGCGTCATCATTGATCAAAACAAGAAAATTTACTTTTATATATTAATATTCTTCACATTACAGTATAAGCTTTAAAATGATGGGTCATTTACCAGAATCAACTTAATATTGCCAAAGTTAAGAGTAAAAGTATTACAGCTTTTTTTTTCACTGCATTAAATCATACAATGCTATCACATTTTCAGTTTAACATTTAGCGAGAGTACACTGGTTTTGAGATGGCAAGCCTTATATTCTTAAAATTTGTTGAAAACATGGAGGGGCAGAGTATAATAGTACTGATAATTTCATTTTATTTAAAAAATAGCCTCACCAAGGGCAAAAGAAATACAAAAAGTACACAAAAAATAAATAAAAAGTGCACAATAAACTTGAACTAAATACTGTATATGATACTGACAAAAACATCAATAAATAATAATTTGGAAAATACCACAACAATAAAATTAGAAATAACAATGGCAGCGGTGACAACAACAATAATATGAATAAATAAAAATAATATAGTCTGTAAGAAGCTTCAAATTTTTGATAAAATTATAATCACAAATAATACCCCAGTGCCATCCAGTATTTTATTTATAGGGCTACCTCCCGAGGTCAGTGTCTTTGTGGCAGTGGGCACTCCAGAACTTATGGTAAAACAATTATAGGCACCATTGTCATAGCAACTTCAGTACCAGAGAAAATTGTAAGAATTCAGACACCAGAAAGTTCAGTTGTAGACTAGAGTTGGAGCCCAAAACAATTGGTAAGACTTTTTCTGATTTGAATTTTATAATAATGTAATTGTGCTACATACTATAATTTGACTTTATTATTACAGTAATTCATGCTATTTGACTGGTTACAGTCTAGACAGATATACAGTAATAGTTACAATACTGTACGGTAAGGTGTGGCAACCAAAATTGAATCTTGAATCTGAACTACATTTTTTTTTTTATATTACTATTGCTCTGTATATTATACACACACAATACATAATGTACAGTACTGGTACTCACATACTGTACACAAATGCAGAAGTTAGAATCCTTATTAAGGGGATACAGTACCTCCAGGACAAAAAAAAATGTGCCCTTAAATTCTAATAATAGGGATGTCTCCTAGGAGTTGGCTGTAGTGTTAAATGATACTTTTATTCATTTCATGGCTAACAAAGTGATTTTAAGGAAGGGTTCAACTGTATGCATTCACATATCCATTACCATCTTGCATCAAGTTGCTTCAGAATAGTCTGCACTTGCAGGCCACAAATTTACAAGTTAAGTGGTGAAATTATAGATCATGTGTTTATCATAAAAGGCAGATATTATGGAACATTCAAGTACAGTATAATTTACATTGGCTGCTTAAATCTGCCACCATCTTTTTTATCTACTATTAAATTAACCCAAAAATATAATATAAAATAACACATTCACTCCCACATTCTTTTTCACAATAAAAAAATTTAATCATTTAATTTCTTTTAACTAATCATAGTCTTTAACAGTATTAGGCATATAAGGCATATTTTGTAATTGTTATATCATACCAAGTAATCTATGGACAAGCAGCCATTTCCAGGCTCAACTATATGATCATCCATCAGCATCTTTAGAGTGACTCCACGCCCTGTCAGAACCGATGATCGCCTTTGTTTCATCCATTGACCAGGGCTTGAGTCCAAGCTATCGTTATCTTCTTCCATAGAATTGCAATCATCTTCTAGGACTGAGTTTTCTGTAGAGGAAGCATGGTAAAGTTACCTTATTATATTATTGTATAGTCAACATGTTTTTTCCTTTATAATTATATGTAAAGCGCATAGAGGCACTGCGCAATATGTGCTATATAAATGTAAGTATTATTATTATTAAAGTTATTCTTCTACATACTGATGGCCTGACAACAATGTATTTTATAATTATATAAAACATGCATTTTTTCAGGGCACTATAAAGTGATAAAATGAATATCATCTCCATATAGTCAGTTACACAGTATCTGAATTTTTGAACTCATCATCATTATCTTCATCATCAACATCGAATTACCATCATCATCTGCATCACCATCGTCATCATCATTACCATCATAATCATCATCATAATAACTATTATCATTAAAAATTACAATAATTCAGTCATACAGTAGCCACAATAAATTTCTCTTCAAAATAATTGGGAAATAATTCAAGAAACCAACAGTAATATTATTTTAATTTTGTCAGATTTTAATTATTATCTAAATCATAAATTACTGTATGCAATTGTAATATATTTCAATAATTTTAAATAAGTTTTAAGTTTTATTATTAATCATTGAGACAAAATCATACAGTTATAGAGTATAGCAATTAATCTTATATCATTGAAAATTTCAATAAAGATTTAAAACAAATGTTCCTGGTATGTTCACATGCCTATGTGCTGATCTCTCCAGGGAGTCGGGCGAAGTATGTGCCAAAACATATTGATTCAATAAAATGAGTATCAACGTAAATCATAATAGTACATGCACAACAACAGCTGATAAATATTATTTAGGAACATTCTCAATTATACCCTATTCAGACTACACTCGCTTGCGATCGGTTGCGATGTAATCGGTGGTAATCCAAAACTGATTACTCCCGATCGCAATCAACGAACGCATTCAGACCAACACAAACAAACTTTACATTCTAGGGCCTAGGCCTGACCTCAGCCAAACAGTGCCTGTAGAATTCGTTGTGATTCGTTGCGATCAGATTCCGTGGTAATCAGGTTAAATAGCCAGTACGTGGTTGCAAAACTGTAGTGACCCTTCCAAAGCTTTGTTTGCTTGGTTCAATTCCATCTGATCTCAATATGTTTGAACTGAAGGGCTGAAATGTGATTTATGATAGTGGACCGTCTTTTGAATGTTTAAGCCGTTGGTCCTGTGTGCAATAAAATGGCCCATGGATGCATGTCATAGGAATGCAGGGGGACTGTCTCAGTCCCCGGTTTTACACATTGGTACTGCCCAATTCAAACCAGAATGGCTCCAAATTGGAAGATTTTTAACAAACACATATTTGACAAGGGAGATGTAAGATAATAACAAATAATAATAAATAATTATATTTTAATTTTATCTATCTGTTTTGACAAACCAAGGAGAAACTCTCCCTGATCAAACAAATAATAACTGGAATACAATTAAACAAACTAAAAAAAAACATTTAATATAAAAATAACGCTAAAAAGAAAAGATCGACGTTTCGACTCCTTCATGGTGTCATTTTCAAGATCAAATGATGAAGTGAAAAATATACAGCAACTATAATCAATAGAAAAAAGCTAATCTACAATGAAAAAACACAAAGAATTTTCAATCTGCATGCATGCACAGTCATTATATTCATTAAACACTTACAGTAAATATTGTTGTAAATTAATTAGTACTAGGCCTAATAAATGAGTATAAATAGGCCTAGGCCTAGGGGGCCTACTACTACTATACTAGGCCTAGTACTAGTAGTAGTAGGCCTAGGCCTAGCTAGGATGTAATAATTAATATACCTACTACTACTAGTAGGGGCCTAAGTTGGTCTATTCCAAATTATCGCCGAGAGTACTTACGGAATTATACTAGGCTTTTAGTAGTACTGTAATAACAAGATTGCATTTTATCCCGACCTATATAAAGCCGATGCATACAGATACAACAAGTTTAAAGTATCGAAGACTCAACAGGCATAGCCGGGCCTAGCTGCTACTTTAGCTAGCTAGACGCCTAGACGACCTGTCTAGCCTAAATAAACAATGTTGTTTACAAGTTCGAAGACCAATGAAATAAAACATATAATTTAGGAATAAATAATTATTATTTCCATACCCATTTCTAATACAGGAGTAGAGTGTCAGAGTCGAAATTCAACGAAATTCCTTTTTGTAAAGTTTCTTTGTTGTGTATGCAACTCCTATGAAACACCGCCAAGTTAACCGCAATAACTTCAGCTGCATTATCATCATCGATGATCTCAACAGATCGGACCAGCCGTCGATAATCGTGTTGGACCGTGTGATATCCATGAGATCTCTGCACATGCGTGTGGATACTTCCATTACTTCTCCAGGTAAAAAATACACGTTCAGGATCACAACAAACCTCGTAGATCGTTGTGTGTTGTGTGTCGTCCATGGTCAGTCTAGTCAAACTTTGTTGTGACGGAGATTATGCCGATGCCTAGGGATAAGAGAAGACGACGTAAGGAAGTACTTTAATGCAATAAAATTTTAAGAGTGCCACCCTATGTAAGTTATGTAATTTTCTGTTGGAATGGTAGTTGACTCGATTTGATGACAACAAGATATTCGTTTTTCTTTACTTATTAGGCTAGGCCCACCCACTGCCCTTTTATCAGCAGGAGGAGAAAGCAGAGGAAGTAAGTAAGGTGCTAATTTAAAGGCCCGCTGTTTCATGCTACATCATAGATAAGGGCAGTAGCTTGGCCCTAGGCCTGATCCTGGGCAATGCCAAGTAAAGTATATTCGTCACATATTTTACGCCCGCTCCTAGCTTGTATTTAAAATTATAGGATGGGCCAGCAAGTATTTATTATAGTTTTACTTGCACCAATTGGGTTCTCCAACATTCTTTTTTTTTGTCTGCCACACCGACCTTGACATGTATGTACTTAAAACAGTTTTACTCCATGTCCACACTTTTGGAATCTCAAAAGCACCCACGTATAAACAATTCAGCCTACAGAGGGATTAGTCCTAGACTTAAATAGCCACAAACAATTTTACATTCAATTTTAACGAGTTTTATAAGAATATAATTGTCAAATTTGCACAAAAATTATTAATCATGCTGAAAAAATACTCTGATAAGGTAAGTTTTAACAACGACGATAAAATTATTATAAATGATTATGTTTTCAATTAGTAATATCAAACTGCAGGTATTTCAGTTTAGAGTAAAAACAAGGATGATAAATAAGACAATATGCAACATTGAAATACACATTAGGATATATTTGCTCAATCCCTTTGAAACTGTGCACAGTTTTGAAAGCAGTGTAATAAATTCCTTTTGCACTTTCTAGTCAATGCAAGGTTCTCTTTCAAAAGTACAAATCCAATAAACAAAATTATAAAAGATTTTAATTCAATAAGCAATTCTTCTTTTGTATTTTCTGTACTTCATATTGCATACTTGATTATATATTTAATTTCTCTTTTCAGAGTGCATTTAGGTTAGCTAGTAGTAAGAGATGGCACCAAAGAAAAACAAGATTAAAAAGACTTGCAGTTCTAGTTCATCGAAGTTTTCTGTGACTTCATCAAAGAACCGCTTCAAACCCTGCAATTCAAAATACACATTGAACAGAGACACTCTGACTGAATTCAGAAGGAAGACGATGTTGGAACAGAACAAGATGAGAAAAACCGGGCTGTTCTGCGACGTTGTGCTGAAAGCTCAGGGACAGATAATCAGAGCACACAAATCTGTTCTTGCGGGTCACTGCGATTACTTCCGCACAATGTTTACTATCGACATGGCTGAAAGTCGTAAAAGTGAGATTGAATTGCACGACATTGATTACGATGCGTTGGCAGCTGTTGTAGATTTCCTTTACACTGGATCCTTCAGAATTGAAGATGAAAAATTAGATGAACTACTTGCTGCTTCTTGCATGTTTCAAATGAAGGAGTTACAGTCTATTTGTGTCAAGACATTTGAAAAAGACTTGCGAGCCACAAACTGTCTTAGTGAGTCCTTCATATATTTGAAATAATATCCAGTAGAAATGTTGTAGAAAATAGTAGAGCCCCTCTCCTTTTGGACATCCCTGTTAAAGTTGGCAGCCCAATAAGTTGATACTATTTTGTTTACAAACCAACTGAAAAATATCTTTTAAAATTATGGCACCTTTTCAAGGGACACCTGTATTATTATTATGATTACCCTTTTTCCCATGGTCCTGAATGTGTACCCTTGATTGGGTTATACTGTATTAGGTTATAAAACAATACTATTTAATAATAAGCAATTAGTATAGGTGCATATCATACACTAGATGACAATTATTATATGAAGGCTAGATCAATGCATGAAACAATTTCAAGAAATGAGCACTGGATAACCCTTTAAACCCATAGGATTGTTTTAAAATGGGTTTGCCCCGTCTTCAAGAGAGTGCTAGAGCCTAGAATATACCTTGCGGGTCACGATACATGCACATTTTTTTTACCTTTTTCACCCACAACAGTTCAGTAATGACAAAATAGTGCACAGTTTTGGAATAGGAGAATAACAGTTACTGTACAATGATGATGTCATGGTTGATAGCACATGAATACATTTGACAATTTTGTCAATGAAGATAACACAGTCAGACATCCCTACATATTCTCCTCTGGGATTTTTTATTTCTTTACATCTTCAATGATCATCCTATAAAACTGGATGATATAAAACATATTTTCTAATTAATATTTTTCATTGCATTCTCAATTTCAGGGATTCATACACTGGCTGATATGTTAAACTTAACGACACTCAAAGACAAAGCTGAGAAGATTATCTGCCTCAAGTTTGCTGCCATCATGCACCATGAAGATTTTCTTGCGTTAGAGGCAAAAAAGCTAGCAGTTATATTGCAATGGCCATCGCTAAGTACTGGTAGGTTTGCTTGTCTGCTGAGAGAACCAGTGATGGCTCCCCCATCAGACAGGCCTGGACTCCCTGTTGTCAGACGCACGACTAGTTCGTCGCATCAAAAATTTAAAAAAAATAATAATTTGCCTATCTAAATAACGTTATTTTGATTGCCAATCCCTAATATTGTGGTCTCAAATCACATTTTGGACCATACTAAGCCATAAAAACTCTCCCCCTGTTAAGCCTACAAGGGATTTTTTATTCTGGGCCGTCGGTCAAGGCTCTAGTCGGCCCTATGGTTCGGAACCCCTTCATCGGACACGTTGGACCCTTTATCATGTCGTCAGCTCTGAAATTAGGCCTAGGCCTAAAGTAAAAAAATCCAACCAAATCACTGTCATTTCCAAATATGCTTGGACAATACAGTCATTTTGTTGCAGTCATTTACTTACTGAGGTTAGAACCTTATCTTTCCATTCCATTGAGTTAACCAACTTTAACATTCTTTTTCTGTTGGCAGGTCTAGTGCAAGATGAGGATATCATCCTACGTGCTGCACTTGATTGGCTGAATTACGACCACAACAAACGCCTTCCGCAATTTGACCTTGTCCTATTGAGTGTCCGCCTAGGTCGTACATCATCCAATCTACTTAAGAGTATTCATACAAGTGGAATTTTGTCCAATAATCCAAGTATGCATGTTTTAATATTGATAATACCTCCGCCAAAGGAGGTTATGTATTCTATTTATGTATTTCTATCTTTTTTGTTAGCAATATTACTCAAAAACTAATGAATGGTCATCATAAAATTTAGTGGAATAGTACATAATAATCAACGAAAGACACCATTTAATTTTCTAAACGACAGATCAAAGGACAGGTTATAGAAATTCAATTTTTTGGAATCGCCCCTCTCATATTCAGGCAGCACTCTGGAAAATAATTTGCCTGAATAGGACGGGCTATTCCATTATTTCTATGAGGGTATAATAATGATAATATTTTATGCAAAGTTTTTTTTATGAATATTTATTGTTATTATTTTGAACTTGTAATACTGTATTTATATTGTATTATCATTACTTCTATTACTGATTACATTTCTGTGAATAGCACAGTATGTTTCTGTTCTCTTAAATTTATAGAATGTGCCGAAATTATTGAGAAGTTTGCTACACAATTTCCAAACTGCCAAATGCGTGTGTACGATTTACATCCACGTTCGCCATCAACGCATGTGTGCATCATAGGAGGTTACAAGCAATCACCGCGTGTAAGGTAATGATGGGTAGTTAAAATCACTTTCCATGGATAAGAAGACTTATTTCCAGTGAGTCCTTTTTGTGGTGATTGGGCAGTACACTGGGAGACATTCCCCTACTCTTTTCCAAAGAGTGTACTATGTTCTTTAACATATGCACATGGGCCATAATGCACTGAGGACGGCGTAAATGTCTCATCCGAAAGACAGTTTGCTATCGTAACTGGTGATTCAGCCCTCCAGTTGAAATACAAGGAGAGCAGTGATGGGAATTGAACCGGGGGACCAAAAGATCTAAATGGTTTACCACACACACAGGGGCTACCACCAGTTTAGCCAATTGAGCTAAGCTGCTCTCAAGTAACAACAGTGGATAGTGTTTTCCCTGTTGCCCTGTGGGAGGATAGGTATCATTTCCATTTGGAAGGATATATGAAGTTGTGAGTGAAGAAAAATACATAGGAAATGTGGCTTTTTAAATAAATAGCTTTTTACAGGAGAGGAGAATTTTTCTCATTTTAAAGAATGACAAATGATTAATTTTACAGTTATGTAGCAATTGCTCTATCGTGATAGCAGAACTCATAATTTTTTTAATTACCATCTACAGTAATGCTCGTTCAGAAGGGAGAACAATCGAGGTGCTAAAGATAACTGACAGAGAGGCAACATGGGTCGGAGGAACAATACTAAGGGTCGGCATGAACCACCACACTGCACTTGCATTAAACCATGAAGTTTATATCCTGAGTACCAACATTAAAAACGAGTATGAATTGTACCAATACGACCTCTTAGAACATTCATGGACCCTTACAAAGAAGGTCGAGGAAGATTCCATGTGGTACATGATTGGAGAACATGTGGATTTTGTGCGAGCTGTAGATCATCAGCATAATTACGTGTATCTCTGTGGGTATGGTACATGGAGAGAGGGTGGTAATAAAGGAAGCAAAAGTTGCCGAAGAGTTCTTAGGCTCGATATGAACTCAAACACATGTAAAGAATTACCACCCCTTCCAGATAATAGGTAAAGTAAGCTTATATATTTAATAGCTGACTGCAAAGAGTGTAGAACTGCTAGAGGTCACAACTGTCAGGGTTTCCCTGAAACGGAATCCTATTTTGAAAAGCACTACTACAAACTAGAGGGCACCCTTCAAAAGAATGTACAAGGCATACGTATCGAGCACATGCTGCATCTGTAGAATGCATTCAAAGTCTAATAGGGTGCCCCCTATCTCGTGGTGGTACTTCACATTTTATTTCATTGTGTGCATTTAAAATATAGATAGTTGGACCTTGCAGTTCTATACTTTTTGTTGAGTGACAATTACCACACGGCTCTTCCAAGGCAAAACAACGTAACTTAACAAAAATATAAAAGCAGTTACGTTGTTTTTGCCATGGGATGGCCGTGCATTATTATAAATTTAGATGCCTTTCGATACCTGGTAAATTGCACTCTCGGACTCTAAAAATGCTTTTTTAAAGTATTGTCCCCGAATAAGTGATCGGCTTCTTCCCTGACTGGGCCTAGGGTGCTCTTCGATGGGGTCCTGTGTCTTCTGGACACCCAATTGCTGCCGCCATAGTTTTTATGATACATGAATTGAGTGTGATTAAGAATTGTCCGATGATGCACTTTTTGAACTAAGAGAATTTATATTCTAACAGATTCTATCACAGTGCGATTGTGATGGATGGTTCCCTGTATGTTGTTGGGGGAACAGATTGGAAGAATGAGGCAAAAGCAGGTGTATTAATGCTAGACCAAGAGAAGGAGGAATGGGTGGACAAACAGATGATGAACGTTAAACGAATTGCAGCTGGATTAACCACTTTGAGTAAGTAATAAATAAAACAGAAATAATAAAAAATATTCCAATAATAATTATAATGAAATTGTAGAGTATTTACCTTGTCAATCTATTTATTTTAACTATCTTTATAGAGTTTGTTTTCTCATTTAGCAAAATAGTTCTATAAAAAGCATCTTAGTGGAAGGGAAAATAAAATTTTGTTGATAAATATAAAAATGTGAGTGCATCTGGAAAAGTAACAGAGGATACTGTAAAACCCTTATTGAGTTCCGATGGGGGAAGCTATCAATACTGTATTACACTGATAACATTGACTCATGCTTTGTCTTCTTAGATGGGCATTTATATGCAATTGGAGGAACAAACATGGTAGCTAGACAAAAGACAGTAGAACGCTATAATCCAAGGACAAACACGTGGAGTGCTGTTGGAAACATGAACCGAGCCCGCGCCTACCATGGTGTTGTGACAGCAGGGGGATGTATATATGCAGTAGGGGGTAAGTTTTTTTGTGGATAGCATTTAAAAACAAATCTTGTCATATATTTCAACAAGGAATGCTAATGGAACCCTTTTGCAGTTATTTATATAATAGTGTAGAACCCCTTCTTTGGAATACTCCTATATTATATTGTCATTTTTTTGGCTTTGAAGCAAGGGATAAAAGCACTGATAAAAACATTGATAAAATGAGTGTGTTTTCTTAAGCAAGCCTTCGAAAGTTAGTCCATTTTAGGGATTTCCATTTTCCTATGTTAATACACTGTGTAATTTGATAATTGCCACCAGTTGTATTTAGGGACCCAGTTAGCAGTGCTCATTCTGCACTACTGTTCTCCAAACACCTGTGAAAATCTCATTAGCAAGGTGCTAACTGACTGTTCTATATATATTTTAACAGGAATTTTAAACCCAGAGGCTCCCCCCCCCCTTTATAGGCACTTGGCTCTTGCCATCTTACTAGGTATCATAACTTGCAGTACTGTTCTTTCTCTTTACTTATTTTATCTGGCATATACTATTATTGTTGAACAAGTTTTGAATGTAAAATGCATACAATAATTCTACCTAGCACTCCAAAGAGGGAGATTTTGTTTTCAGCAGAACCTGGACAATTGCTGAACACAAAATTTTAAGTGAGAATGAGATACTATATGAAATATGTTGTTTTTCGTTCTAGGAAAATCAAATAGCAGCGAAGAAGGTGGAAATAGCAATGTTTTAAATTCTGTTGAGGTGTATGACCCCGAGGCAAACCAATGGAGCATGCTCCCAGAAACAATGTCAAGTGAACTCTGCCGGATGACACTCTGCGTTGTATGAAGAACAGTTCTCACTTTCATCCACTTGTCCATCCCCTTGGTCAGTGCTGGTTGGTTAAAAAAAAATCTTCGATTTAAGAATAACATGGTGCAAGATGGAAGTAAACCTATCTTGTTGAAAAAAAGTTATATTCATTGTAGAACCCAATTCCGATGATTATACACCTTGTCTGTTACATTTTTTATTATATAATTTATTTGTATTATTATTTTATTTTAGCATTATTACTGTTTTTGTTAATATTATTCTGAATCCACAATCATAATATATCTTTAAGTGATCTGGATAAACATATACTATATTTATAATGTTTCTTATTTTAGGTTTTTTTTATAAAAAATATTTAATAGAATCTATAGAGGCGGTGTTTCAATAACTGACCAAATTTATATCATTTAATGAGTAGGTTTATACATTTCTTCATAGAAACTTGCCATCTGGCATTGTCTTTAAGGAGATGTAAGGCATGCTGTGTTTGAAAGGTCCTACTGTAAACTTTATAAACATGTGAATATAAAGAAACTTTACCGAGCCTAAATAATATGAAGAAAAACATGTTTGTTGATCAAGTTTTTTAAAAACTAGGAGGAAAAGGTCACAGTATATATATATATAGGCCTATTAGGCTCCATTGACTCTGTCACATACAATGACCTAATGAATTTTCCCATATATGGGTATGGTTTAACATTATGTCCATATATGGAGTACAGTCTATGTACACACATAGATACTCATTGCTTATATGGATGTTTGGTTATCTGCAGAATTTTTAGTATCTTTTTGCTTTTGGAGGTAAAAATAAAAGTGGCCCTAAACAAAATAATAAGAGAGAGAAAATGAGAAACAGTTTTTTTTTTTTAATTTGGCCATTAAAATATTGAGCATATAATATCATTTGATTTCACTTTGAAAATATGTAAATTACAAATTTTGTGGTAGGAGGTTTGGTTAGAATGATTTGATTAGAAACCATCTATAAGACTACCAACCAAGAACCAACTAAATAAACCATGGAAACTAAGATTTTCCTACTAGCAAGATCAATGAATAAAACTAATATAAGATTAGTAAAAGAAGTATATTAAGGCGGCCACGTGAAAAAAAAATTCTTGATCGTCACATCCCTACTTGAGAAAAGTGTCCATTATCTTTGTTGTTAAAAACCACAAATGCATAGAACTCTACTTGAGACATCTAACACTGGTTGGATAGATTAGTCTGGGAGTGGGGGTTAACTTGGACAATAGAATATAAAGTATTGTTTGAAGAAGAACATAAAGCACATATACAAGATTTGGGTACCAGTGCCTGATTGTCCTAAGCCTGTGAGGTTAAAATAAAATAAACCTACCTACTAAAAAAAAAGTTTCTTCAGATGGTCTACTAACAAAAACCATTTAGGTAAATATATGCAGGTAGCCCAGAAAATTAGTATCATAACTATTACAACAATGTTTTTCTGATTTTAGAAACATTGTATTATACTGTATTAAATTTAAAACTTTTCCAACCAGGCCCTAAAATATGAAGATATTGTAAATCTGAAGATATTGCTTTCAGTTATAATAGATATTGCCAAAAAATGTTTTTCCTTTTATTTTTAAAGACACGTCTATATATTGTATGCTTTATGTTGTATTTTTTTATTAATATTACGTTTTCTATATTTATGCACTTCATGTATAAATGTTATATAGTTGGTTTTATAGTTATTGCTTACATTATATAAAAAATGTATGATAACCAGATGATGTTTAAAAACAGTTATGAATAAAAACATTTTAAACTAATTTTTTGGCCATTTTTTGTCTTGAATACATGTACTGCTGAATACAAGGATACTGTCGTGATTTTTGTGGAATTTGCATTTTGTCATAATTGACATTCTTTTTGTAAAATGTTTTTTCACAAGCACCAGTCAAATCATCATAATTAACATCATAATCCCAGGGGTCCCAAGTTGCGTTCCGGCGTGTCTGGAACGAAAGATGGTAACATTCCCGCAATATTTAGACGAGACTTTTATACATTGTTTGGCGAATCCTCCGACCGCCATTAATTATTATTTCGAATAAAAATAAAATTGTATTTTTTTCCAGTCAGCTATGAAAAAATTTGAAATTATCAAAAATAAGATATTCCTATTAGGCCTATATAAATTTACACGTTATCTGTTCTCGAAAACTTACTTGTTGCAGCAAAGGTAGAATAATATCAAGGAAATGACTATAAAGCATAGCCTTGCCATTATCATATTTACTGTCCTTTGCAGTCCGTGCCGACTAAAAAGATTAACAAATGCTCAGCGTGCTGGTTCAATTCAATTCAGCAATATTTGGTTGGTATGGTTTATGTTAAGTGTAACGGTATAATTACCGCAATATTGCCAGAGCCTCTGTCTGAAAATGGCTATACAGTAGTACAAACATGCAAATATTTTCCTTGAGATTCTTCTTGCTTGTGGGAGGCAGTGTCGCCTCTAGGATATATTTTCTGGGGGGGGGCTAAGTTGTCCGACAGGGAGATTTGTGCTCGAGGAGGGGTTAAGAGGGGTTCCCCTCCCAAATGAGATCTTTTTAAAGAATATCAACCTATATATGGCTGAAAATGGCACATGTTGGCTTGGTGTGGGCCTATTTTTATGTTTTATGGTCTGATTGCCCAACGAGCTCTGTCCGGCGGGGGGCCTTGACCTGTCTGGTGGGGGGGCTTAAGCCCCCCTGCCTCCTTGAGAGTAGACTTGGGACCCCTGTAATCATGCAATAATCATCAACACCACACCCATCCGTATCATTTTTACAATCATTATTACAGAAATCATCTTTACTAACACAATCAGGAGGTTTAAATGTTACATTATGCATTAAATAGGTCATCAATCCCCTTTCGCCTTACAGCATAGCATTTCTGCAAATATTATTTCAATACAAGTAGATTGATTATTTGCCAGGGGCAACACAATTATTAACACGTTATTGTTGTCAATCATTAAATGGTTGAATAAATGAAAAGTAGCCACCCCATTGAGACTGCATTGAAATAAAATTTAACATCTGCAAATACAAGACAACGTAAACATGTGATAAATTTTTCTCTTTTAGTCTTTATTTAGCCTGTATTGCATCATAATGTCATCGCTATGAAGAATGTGAAACTCCCCCAGTTCAAAAGTCAGGTACACAAAACTCTTATTAGGTATTTCCACTGAGTATTATGGGATAGAAAACAGCCACTTTTGAAAATGTATACATACATAAAGCTTGCATTCAAATAAAATCTTACAATAAAATATTTTTAAATTTTGAAAAAGTATATTGGAACCATCAGAGGGAAATACTGTATTTGGTATAAAAAAAAAATTGTTTTCTTGTAACACCTTGAAGAATAACTAACACAGCTTATTAATCTCCTAATAGGAACTAAGATCATAGAACTATGATCACATGGTTTATAAAAAATGGCATTTTTGGTTTCTAAATATTAAAATATAATAAGGTATTGAAAATTGTATGAGTGTATATGTATTTTGGTTGCAAGAATGCATGGTTTAGAAATGCCTTAAAAACAATTCAATAATATTCACTTTTTAACATGTTAACTTCAGTATAGGTGACATGCATTACAAAACTAGTAAAAATAGTGAGATTTTCTTTGGGAAAATAATTTTACAATAACAAAAATCACAGTTAGCATAACTATGATGATGACATTTATAAGCTATGAAAATTCTTAAGTGAAACAGCCATGACAAAAATATACTGTGTTGGGATTATTTGGTTTCAGCATTTTAAAATACTGAAGTGTTTTAAATATTAGGGAGTTTTCGCAAGCTTACAAAAGTGATAACGAATACGGTTACGTCATTAAATTTTTAGACAATCCTTCCCCTACAGTAGTATATCTGTCTCAGCGTAGGCGATTCATGTCGTCTGCATAAATCAAGGATCACACTCAGCTTGTACAGCATATTATCAAGAATGTTTGAGGCACGAATGATAATTATAATTACTTATTCGCTATCATTTTCATAAGGTTGCAAAATCTCCCTAATAACAGATTTTTTGTGAGTTTTGAGTACCTGACAAGTAAATAAACCCAGCACTGGCAATAAAACAGTTTAAAAGATATCAAATCAAGTAGTATGACAGATATTGTGGAAGTTTATAAACTCTGATATACAGTAATAAGATACATGAATAAATTGTTTGTTTTTTTTCTGATTGCATCATAGGTAAATTTTAGTACAAATGAGAAGTTTTTAGATGATCAAAATCTTTGAAAGATGATGATCGCACCGAACTGAGTTTCTTAACGCTGGAATTACTTGTGTCCTTTCAAAATGCGTCTTTCCATAAATATGGATATATTAATTTCTGATATTTTTAAATACTTTTTTGAAATATGAATTTAAACAACAAAGTATATCCATTGGTTTTAATAGACCCACCCCCCCCACCCCCCCTGAAGAAATAATTTTTTCTCATCAATAAAGAAGCCATCGTGAAAATGTTTTACGTTACTCAAAATTGTTCCTGATACAAGAAAACTTACAATGAAAATGACGAAATATACAGTTCGATACAAATACGTCTATGGTGAACTAGTTTAGAGGCCTATTTACAAGTTTATCAAACTATCAATAACAATAAAAAAAATAAAGTATAATAATAACAATAACCAGGACAAATCAAAACAAGTAAGTCCTTTTGCAGCGCCCTTGTGAGATGATTAATGCAATTTAACCATCGCTTTAATGACGTCACCAGCATGTTTATTTTGTGCAGTACTACTCGGTAATTGCGCATTAGATGGAGCTCGTATAATAATGTAGTGCTGCATAGTCAGTGATAAATGACTAGCGCCACCTAGTGTTACTACAATACCGATAAACATTCCACGTTATACTGCTCACGACCTCATTAAGGGTTTGGTCAATTGATTATCAATAAACAATAAATAGAATTCTTAAGTTTTTTATTTCACGCAGCAGCTATGCAGGGTGCAGGCATCGGGGTACACTGCATAAATGCTTTATACCTCTTGAGTCTCCAAAAACAATTTCTTCATCATCATCTTCTGCTAACTGGGACTAAAAGAGACTTTTAAAAATAAATAGCAGTGAAAGATGGGTTTGGAGTCAAAATATCTGCTTTCTTATATTAGATTTTAGTTTCTAAGAAAGGATTAAAATCCACCAATAGTGGAAACGAAATTGTATGAATCACCTGAATTGAGAAAATAGTTTGTTTTGGTGGCTTTTTCCTCATGTTTAAATTTCTATGTCCCTTCAACTGGAATTTTTTTTATATCTATTAATCAAATCGAATAATAAAATTATTCAAATATCAATAATTATAATTAATGGTAATTTTGTGAAATCTTTGAGTAAAATTTGCAATTACAATTTGTCTACAAATTGTAAACTTAATTTGACTAAGAGAAAAAAAAGTTTAATATAAGAGCAGATAGAAAAATTAAACGAGGACCCTTCGCACCGCTAAACAATATTGATGAAAACAAGCATTATGGTTATATTTTGATCAATGGTTTAAAATGACATATTTTCCGTAAGTGGGACACTACTAGTGCACAACCTGATTGGTTGAAACGTTATGATGGAAGGACGCTGGCAAGTGAGGGCGCTCTTCTAGCTTATCATAGTCCAGGTGAAATTCCTTAGGAACCTTACACCATCGGTGACAATCAAAGTAGTAGTACATTCCCATTTCGTAGGAGTTCGTTTTCACAGACGGCTCCATTCCAGGTCCTCTTGTGATCCACACTCGCTCATCCTTGTGGTACCTCCAATCACGATTGTATCTATAACATAATGACAATAATATGTCAATCATAATCACAACTACTCCCAATGTTATTTTTTCTATCACAAATCATGTACTAATTTTTCTTTAGTGCTTGGTTTGATTGAACTTTTTTTTCAGGCCCTAAGGAATTTTTTCATGCATTACTCTAACATTTGTATAATAATTTCCACTAGTGTATGACACACAAATATACAAATTGCTTAATATAATAAGGTATCCCAATCTGAAACAAAATGTTGGAAAACAACAATAGCCTCTCTTCTCCTAGCTCATATGTTAAACTCAAGATGTAATCATTATTATTCTATTAGGCTTTTGCAATCCAATCAAAATCTTGTGTATGTATACTTTCTATGATGACCGACAACATCAATACATTGGTTAGAGGCGAAGTTTATCAGCCTTGGATTGGTTTATAGTTAGAAAATTCTGTCTAAAAAATTGGTAAAGAAAAGAAGATATTTTCATCTTTAAATTCACTTAAGTATTGTGATTTATTTATTAGTTTATCATCATAAAAAAAAAAATAGGTATTTAAGTATTGAAAATTATCTAAAATTTTATGTAAATATTTTTGACCGATGTTGATATATCCCACTATGATCTCACCAATAATGCATCATATTTTTTTGGTGAGACCTTACATGATCTAAGGCTGCAACTACAGAAGCAATAGAACAAAACTAAAAAATTAGTTATATAGAAAGATTCTGCTTATAATACAGACTATATAACTAATAATTACTTACAATTCAGCTGCTGCTGCTAGTTGAAGAACCTCACCCCCATGCGTGTAGTACAAATAGAATAAAAGATCCTCTCCATATCTACTTAGCTTGATTGGGGCCAACTGAGAATGGAGGGGGAAAAAAATGCATTGGGAAAATTTGTAATAAGAAATGCTGCAAGAAATAATGCAATGTAGAACGTAGTCACTGCACATTGTTACCTACGCCAATAAGCCAATTCATGGTTTGAACTGCCTGCATATCCAGTGTAATCCGAGGTCAATCAACTTATGTTGTGTGTATGTCTGTTTACGTCGATTGACCTTCATATGAGCATGCATGGTTCAAACTACGAATTGGCTTTTAGGTATTCATCGCTGTTTGTTAGTGGGATTATGCAAACAAAATAATTAATGGATCATCATAAAATTTATATATTGGCGCAAGGTGATTATATCTTGGGTTGAAAATGTCAAAGGTCAAGGTCAACAAAATGTGAAAAAATCATTAAGAATTATGCAAAAAACTGACAGTTGGATCATTAAAAATTACATAATAATCTGAAGTGATTAAATTTGGGGGTCAAAGTTCAAGTAAAGCCAAATTTCAGAAGACACTTTTTTTTTTTATTATTCTGCACTTAGGCACAGAGTGGAGCTTGATTATATTATTTATATTTGTTCTTTCTACAACTGCTTTTGTTCATCAGACTGAATACTGGATGGATAGGTCTACACATTTTCCTAGCTCAAAATGGATAGCAAAAACTTCACTTCACAATCAACAGTGGGAAGCCTGCCAATTACATAATGGAAAACGTAACAAACGAGAACAATACAAAATTAATTAAGACATATATAGTACTTCATGCCAAAAAGGCTTCTAAGCACTCGACAATATTACCCCCGGTCATTGGATTAAACACATATGGAACATATATTCAGCAAAACAGTAGATATAAAAACACAAACTAAAAATAACAATACAAATTTTAATAAAGATCAATCAAATATGAAAATTCAAGTATCCTAACCTAAAAATTCAATATTTAAAAAATCTTTAAAAAAAGCATAGTAGTTATAATAATAAAATTAAAGTTGAAGAATACCTTATCTTTAATATGGAGATTAGTCAAGTACTCTGATGGAACGTGAAAGTCAATGTCTTGTGGCCGGCATGGACCATCAGCCCACGGTGACTGGAACGTACCATACAAATTTCTGCACAAAAAAATGTAATAACATATCTCCTGCATGATCAAAGTAGATATAACACCCTTACATATGACTAAAATATCACCATTATCCTATTGCATATATGTAAGTATAATTTAATAAGATATCGGTCTTGCCTGTTCCATGTTACTTATCTCACATATACCTGTAGTTCATTAGGGCTATAATAGGTCCTACGTCATCGTAAATAAACGTTTATAGAGAAATGCTTGTGTCTTCAATTGTGTTATTTATTCATCTTAACACTGTATACATTATTCATCTTAACACTGTATACATTGTATTTAAAACCCTGCTTCTGAAAGTGTTTCACTAGTACACACAGGGTAACATAATACTCTTGATTAAACACCGTGGGCATGGTGGAGCACTCATTCGACAGCGGTGCTTATTCCAGCATTTAAAGTACACTAAACTCTGGGACTCAGGTAAAGTAAGATCTTGGGTCACGGAAATTTAACAGGCACCCAACACAATACCATGCTGCAAAGCTTAGTTAGAAGATATTACTTACTCCGGTGAGTTTAAATTGAGACCTAATGTAGTTAAATCACTTCCCAGAGCAAGTTGGACAAGGTTAGCATCGGTTTCAGCAGCTCGGATAAATGTTAACAGTCCAACCATACCGAATGGATCTGTGACCATACCAGCAGGAATGTTGGTTATCTTGCCTGGAAAATACAAACAATTCATTGGTGGATTACTACTAGAAGTATGAAAATACTACAATACAAAAGAATTCATTAGAAGAAAATGTGGCCCTTGTTGGCAAATTTTCGGAACCACCACCACCAATAGCTAATAATAACATTCCTATATTCTTTTCTGATAATGTTACTTGTAAATGAATAATGTATCAATTCATTTAATTTTGGTTTTTCCAGATTTAAGCAGAGGGTATTACATTATAATTACTTTGGCAGCTTACCATCAGGATGTATTTGAACACCTTTCTTGACATTGTTAGTTTGTTTTGATGTGTTATCGCCTGGAAACCTGGGGCTATCCATACTGTTATTGTTTTGCTGTTCCGACCCTGAAAGTGAGAAAAAAGAGATTTTTGTTGGACAAAATTTCCAGACACACGTAGAAGTGCTAGTTGTAAAACACTAGCTTAGAATTCATACATGCTGTACAAATTTTTATTACCTTTGCACACGAACCGAAAAAAAGATCAAGCAAGCCGTGCACTAATGAAAAGCTAGTGCACAGTTGGGAATAGGAAAGTAACGACTGACTTATAATATATGAGGCATGTCATGGCGAAATGGTTAAGTTGTCGCACAGGCTAGTATTGAGTAAATGAGCTATAAAACATGGGAGCTCAAAAAATTGCCTAAAAATCCAAATTTGTTTTTCATTATAGATCAACAGTTTAATGTCTTGTTAATCATGTACAAAAGTATTAGTTCTGGAAGTGGTCAACAAGTTGTTTATTTAATGTTATTTTAATAGTTCATTTTATTAACAATGTACGCACAAATAACTTTGAAAAGCAATTACTCAAAATCATGTTTATCTTGATTCTAAGAGTACTGTTACTTTCACTTTTCAATAACTTTGGCTGAAATGTCCAATTTCAATGAATGACCCCTCATTTTAAAGATCACATATTCAGGTATCTGAAAATACCAATAACTTGAATTTCAATTTTTGCTACAACTTAGCCATTTTGTCACAACAGGCCTCATATATTATGTTATATGTAGTTAGATTTACATAGCACTTTATACCGAAACTGACTGGCTCTTACAGTAACTTGCTTCTCCCCTAAGGGTCTCCTCGTGACTGAGCTACCAGCTACTCGTCTGTCCACAAAAGGGGTTGAATGGGCCAGTACACCGGGGTAGCCCCCCCCCCACTCGTCTCTAACGATATATATAACATTTACCTTGCTTATTGTTTGAACCTGGTAATGCTGGGAAATCCTCATTCTGGATTTGAAATTCAGGTGTTGGCTCTGCTGTTTTGTTCACCATGCCAACTGTAAACAGATTTATCCATTTTAATTAAGAATATTAATTAAATATGATAAGAAAAATTGTTACAACTAGTGCTTTTATATATGTTATTGTTTTACCCAAGGTCTGCAGTACATAGATTGACAGCTTCCCACAATCTACAGGGTGAAGAATTTCTTTGCTACTATGTTACTTTTAAACCTGAAAATTTAATAAATTCATTCAAACTGAAGTACACTCAATATCATGCATTACCCCGCCACACTAAATTATAAGTAGGAAGCTTTTGATTGACAACGTAGAACAAATTTACTCATCCGTGACTGTCATTGTGTGCGTCGATTTTGATACTTTAAGGGGATACGTCACAAACGCAAAGACTGACCCACCCATGTTTAATACAGTACACTCTTTGTTCTGGCCTGAATGTACAACGTTATTACGGTCTACACGTCATTGCAAATTGAAAGTTCCCTGTGAAGTTTCGACTTTCTATGGGCTTTACCCTTGACCTTTAACCTTATTACAACCAAATTTAGCCACCACTTCCTTAGACCAATATGTAATTCTCCACTCAATTTTGATACGTTCGTTAGTTTTAGATGAATGACGGTAAATAAAAAACTTTTGTGTAATAAGCAAGTTTCGGTACTCACCATACTGCGGTCTTCCTGCCATTGGATTTGGTAACTGGAAGGCACTCAGATCATTCTGTCGCCCTCTATTTGCAAGTGCGGGGAAGTCGCTCAAGTCTAATGAAGGTGATGAGTCGCTTGCTGTTTAGGTAGAGAAAAAAATTATTCAAAATCAGAGTACAAAAATCTTAAATATGTACATGATTAACTGATAGAAGTACCGGTATTGCTTTGCCACAAGCTAAGTATTCCATTTTTTCAGACCTGTTTTGTGCATAAACCGGAAATTCTGTGTACAAAATATACATGGCATTAAAAAGAAGCATTTTGTTACACTGTTTTTTTTTTTATTTATCATAAATATTAAACAAATCATATATTTATAAATAAATTCTCGGTACACTTATACCATGGTAAAAAATATAATTATTTTAAATATATACAAATATCTTGGTATCATTTATTCATTAATTATGCAACATCAACAATTACAATTCGTAGTAATCACAAGCTGAATTTGGAGATTTAATTTATGAAGTTAATTATAATCTACTGTATATAATAATATTATACATTACATTATATATTAATATACTTTCTAATAAATTTATACTTACACCAATGATCAAATGGGAACCTTGAACTCTGATCTTTGCTCCTGGTATTACTGTTAAACTGCAACCAATTTTGTGCCTTATTTGTTACGTTGTTGTAACTGTTTGTTAAATTTTGATTGTTAATATTGCCGAGGAGGTTGTTCTGTTGTGCTAAGATGAGTTGCCGTGAGATACCAAAACTGTTCATGCTCGTAGGTGTCGTCCTATCTTGATAAGTCCCAGATATCCTACAAAATTAATATGTGCATGTCAAAATTATGGTTGTATAATAATAACATTTTTGACTTATATAGAGCTTCATGCCAACAAGGCCTTTAAGCACTTCACATTATTGTACCCAGTCACTGGATCAAGCACTAGGGAACACATACTCAGGTCCCTGGGAAGAATTCCATAATTTTGCCGCTGTAGTCAGCACATTTTGTGTTTGAGCCTACAGGTACCCACTTGTACTCCTGGATGGGGAGAGACAACCGTATTAAAGTGCCCTGCTAAAGGATACAAGCAAAATGCAGAGCAAAAGATTGAACCTCCTCCAACTTTAAGATTGAGGAGTAGAACCACATTCGCTACCCCAAACCTTTGTTTACATGAAGTGGTTCTATGTCTCAATTGCATGTGAATGGGTTTGGTTGTATGGGTGTCAGTATGGGTATTTTAATATGAATGGATTATGAATATATAGGCTAATAAAAATCATTGCAGTGCTAGTCCTTTATTAATTTATTCAAATTTAAAAATAATACCTTTCAAAAAAAGACTAGAGCAACTATCACAATACTTACGTCCCAATTGCCCTTTGTTGTTGCTGTTGCTGCTGTTGTTGTTGATGCTGCTGCTGTTGTTGTTTCTGATGCATTGCTAGTAAGCTTGGTGACGTTCGACTTGGACTACTCAGACCCCTATGACCTACAGATAAGATTCCCCTGAAAGATATTTGAGAACACCCACATTAAAAATAGCAGCGTTATTATACAATAAGTTCTAGTCCTGTCCTAAAATTAGCGTGTAAAAATAGATGTAAATTAAATGGCAAGTCAAGTCCTTAAATGCTAAGGATGCAATATTCTCTAATACAAACAGTATTCCTGTTAACTGTTATAAGGTCAATAGGTTAGGTTAGACAAATAACATATACACCTTTTTTGTCTTAAAAAAATCAACTGTACAATATATCAACAAATTTATTTTCTTCCAGAGCCTGGCTTTAAAAGAAAGCGGTGCATAATAATGCGGCTGCACATGTTTTTATTTAAAAAGATAAATTTTTGTTTTTTATGGAGGAAGGTGTACACTTGGGGGTGTAGCAATTGTTGTATCTCTCACCTGCTAGGTGATCCGGGATTCATTTGCTGCATTCCTGATGATAACGATGCACTTGTAGGTGTTACGTGACCTGGAAGGTTACCATGGTGACTCGATAAACTCCTTGGAGGGAACTGTGGTTGCGGTGTGGGCATTCCTCGTGGAAGATTTTGCATACCTTATAGGAAAGTATAAAAGTACTTCAACAGTAAGAATTAAATCTTTTTTTTTTTTTCAAAAATATTACTACTTTCAATAGACATGACAAACACTCATGATATGGTGTACATAAAGAAATTTAAAATGACACTTACTTTGGCCAAAACCACCAACACCAAACTGTGATGATAATACCTGCATAGTTATAGAATGACAATTACCAATATTAATAATAAGAAAGAGGCACCATATATACTCGCGTTATAAGACGACCCCCAAATTTGAGAAGATTTTTGAACAATATTTGTATGTTGGGCGTATTAAGATGACCTCCCTATCTCACCGTCAGAATTTTTGCTGCTTTTTATGGTCTTCATACTGCATCTAGCTGGCTAAAAACAAAACTTTTAAATATTTCATCAAAATCTTATTTCCCCACATTAATTGCGTTCATTATTACTAGCTTCATATCAGTAGCAAATTTGTGTGTTACATAAGATCCGCATATAAGATGAACATGATTTCAAAATAAAAAATTTGTAGGTGTTGCACGTATAAGACGACGGCCTGTTTTTTTTTTTTATCGTAATTTGCTATTTTAAGCCTAGTCTTATACTTGAGAATATGGTACATAGCTTTTTGTGAATAATTGACTGCGAAATAAAATCAATTCTCATGAAATTAAGCAATACAAAATGCACACACAAAAAAAGAAAAAAAACATAAAAAGAAATATTTCAATATTTTTTACTGAAATATAACAATTTTGAAGTTACAGCCTACAAAAATTGATTTCCAGCTTTAACAGCTTTGTTTTGTAATGCTTTTTCATTTTGAATTCTTTTGTTTTGCACTTTTAGTTTCATTTCAATTTTCAACAATGGCAACACGGCCTTGTAAATAGCACCCTTTGGGTGAGACTAGCTTCCATGTTAAAATAAAGTTGTAATAGTAATAATAATAATAATAATAATAATAATAATAATAATAATAATAATAATAATAATAATAACAATAATAATAATAAATGATCATAATATGCGCCAAGTCTGACTTAAGGGGAATATGTTTTGTGTTATTGTCCACTTAACGTCATGTTATTTTCCCCTTAACGTCGTTTTTTAATTGTTCTTTAATTTCCCCATTGTCTAAGTGTCTAAGCTCCCCTTAAAATAGGTTTTATTAACATAATAATAATAATAATAATAATAATAATAATAATAATAATAATAATAATAATAATAATATCTGTACATACATCTTTTTCAGATCTGTGTGCTGGAAAATATATACTTGCTGGGTCATTCATATCTTTGTCTTCTCCTCCAAAAAATCCCATTTTACTTTTCTTTCCTAACAAATTAATATCTGAAAGCATAGAGTGTATACAAATAATTATTATGTAAGTAAGATTGTGTTCCTCATTTAGCAAAATGAAAATAAAAACATAATTGTATTGATAAATATAAATATTCTCTTGTTTGAGATCTATTGTGTATTTGCAAAGAATGTGATGCTGTGATGCAAACAGTTCAGTAATCAAATTTTAAAAAGCATACCGGTATATTTTTTTCAAAAGAAATTCAGAATTTACATTGGGAAAATTTTATGGTGGCAGCGGGCATAATAAAAAAATAATTGAAACTTGCATTTGTTTCCGAAATTTCTTTTAATGGTGACACAAGTGTACTAACAGGCTTTATTTTCATTTGAATCATTATCAGAAGAATTAATTTTTTTTATTTCAAACATAAAATACTTAGGCAATAACAGCAAATGAACAATTTAACATAAATCAACTTAACATTTTAAATACATTTTAAAAAGAGACCTCAATACAATTTTCAAAAACTTTACAATAATGGAGAAAAAAGAAACCATTCCCTGTACAACCTCATCAATTATAATTACTGCATAGTTATGTAATTTTGTTTTATTTTCTCAAACAAATTTTACTACAGACTACGGTATGCCCTTTTCCATTGTACACATCTTTTTAAATTCTCCTCAAAGGTCAAAGGTGGTAATATCAGTCTTTGTAATATTTCTAGGTATCTACATTATATAAATGACCTGGTAATTTATATATTGTCATACATAAATTTCCTTTATTACTAAAAGTTATCATAAAACGTGTACTTGTTTCTTACCTTGATTTAAATCTGGCTGGCCTTTCCTATCGTTTGGTAGTTGGGATAACCCAAATCTGGTTGTGAAATTATAGAAAATATGTTATTGTATTAAGTAATGTAACATGCAGATTTCGTCGCTCACATCACGAACTAACACAATTAAAATTCAATTGTGTTAGTTCGTGAAATCAAAAAAGCGCGTCAAAATACGCGCTGTTATTGTTAAGGACTTTTTGTGTGGTAAAGAATACAAAATTGCTTGACAACCAATACGCGCTCGTTTTGACGCGCTACTGTGATTTCACGAACTAACACAATCTACTTTGATTGTGTTAGTTCGTGATGTGAGCGACGATTTGTACACTAAACACCCTAAAAATGATAAATAAGACAACACTCACACATCTCTCTAAGTTAAATAAATAAAAAAAAAAAACACCAGCAAACTAGCATAATAATAACCTAATATAAAGCATAGCTATGTAAATAATGTTCCAGCCTATGGTACAAACTATACCATGATAATGAGCCTGCATGATATAATGACTAGACAACCTGTGCATATGATTCGCATCAAAATATGACTACACACCTGGTTAATACAGTACCACACTGAATTTCCAACACATACACATTAAAAATACATTTCCATCAAAACAGCATTAGTGCTATAAAATTATCATGAACTACAGTAAAACTAAGGAGTAAAACAACAATAGGATTGGTTTTTTTTAATTATTAAGCAGCCATTAACTACTGTGTAGGTTAGCCAATCAGAGAAAGATAAATATGTTATACAGTAATCACATATTATTAAATTAAATTTAGATTTAGATTAGTAAATGAAAGCAAATATAATTATTAAATTTACTTACTGGCCATATCCCATTAAATTCGACATCTGAAATTCTGAAAATAAGATAGTATTATAAAAATACTGTATAAAGAATCGAATTTCCACAATTTTTTAATAGGAAAAAATCATAAATCAGCAAGTTTGTGTTCAAAAATTCCCCCTCTCACCCGCCCCACCCCCTCGTTGGACCTAAATCAACAGGAAAGATAACAAATTCTACCAGGCTATAATACAACAGTAGTGGAAGATTTTTAATTGAAATAGTTACCTAAACAATATACAAACAGTTAAAGAAAATACAGGCTCCCAGCAGGAGCGTTACATTTACATTAGTTATTTGTTTGGCTACTTTTAAATCATAACCCATCGATGATTTCCGCCTTGGCAATTCACATGAATAACTGTACAGTTAACAGATTGTTGACTTTTTAGTTCTTTCTAGGACAGTTCCAGGCATGGCATCATATTTTGTAGGCTTACTTCTGGAAGACTGTTTCTTATGACGTATCCCATCGTTCCTCCAACCGGATTTACTCTTAAAACATACAGGAGAGATGCCAACAAACCTCCTCCCTAGGAAAAACAGGTGCACAAAATCAGAACCACTTTCTCTGCAAAATTTGCAAGAAAGTTGGCCCTTCAGAAATGTGCAGATGGATTGTACAAAGAGGAGTGGAGTTTCATTATATCTTAGTGGTTAAGATGTTTGCCTTCCAATCCAAGGGTCCTACGTTCAATTCTTGTCAGTGACAGGATTTTTGCTGAAGACGAAAGACAACTCCAAGGGTCCCATGTTAGAGGAAATATTATTTCTCCTGCAAATATAATATTTACAGGAGATGGGTTATTTTCCGGGAGATTCTTGCATGCTTGCATGAGGTCATCCTGATTACAGTGACTTCCGGGAGAATTAGGACCCCTGTAACTCCACTTCCAAAGCCTTAAGTTTATGAAGAGCATCTTGTGTATGTTTATCTCGCTACTTTTCTAGCGCACACTTGAGCTAGGTCTAGTAGTAATGCCAGACTGTAAAATGAGGCCCAAATACACTAGAAATCTGTCTAAACTTAGGGACCAAATTTGATGCAAATGCTGCAAAAAATTAGGCTTTGGCCTACTCCTCAATATACAGCCAATGTATTATTTACTACATAGTATTTATGATTCTGCGCACCTATTTTCCAAGCATTTTTCCATGCAAATTTGAGGTATCCCTTTGCAAATAAAATAGACCTACTTCAGTATCGGCGTGAAAAGATAGGCTTGGACTAGAACACAAATTAGCAGCCCATGAAATTTGGAAAAAATTAGGTCGGCAAAAATTTACCGACCTCAAATTCTCCGAGGTCGGCAGACTCGGCAATTTTTTAACCTAGGCCTATATAGTATAAACTACGATTTTTCTGAATGCTCGACCTATACATCGTCATCTACAGATTGTGATTTTGTTTAATTTCTCTATTAAATCAATATATTGCTGGTGAAAAATGGTCGTAGTATAAATTTAATAGTGTAGTATAATACATGTTTTACATAAGAAAATTGCCAACTAAATTTCGTTTTAACGTTCGTTTTATCGTTATCTTTGGCATGGTAAATATCACTTTCCTAAAAGCTACGATCGTATCATCACAGGCTGCTTCAAAACTGCCCATGCATGTTCATGCGTATGCCCAGAATGATCAGGGATCATCCACACAGTACAGAAAGACCAGACGATTGTACAAAAATCGTACGTACTGCATGCCTATTAGAAATAGTTATTGTACAAACAAATCTGTTTTATGGACCACCAATTTCCTTGGTTTGACGACGTACATGAAATTTAACGTCTGCTACAGCCTGTTTCAGTCAAAGTTTTTGACTTTCCAAGCAGTTTTTGAAGCAAAGAAATCTAGGCCTAGGTCGTCAAAAAATTGACGTCCTGTAGCAATTCTGGCTCGGCAATTGCCGATTGCCGACATGAAATTTGTGGGCTGAACTAGGGTAATGAGTAAACACATGACCTAGCTTACTGTAGTAGCTACATACCTACCTAGGCCTAGCTACCCCCTCCCACCTTCGCAAAAAATTATTTCATGGCAAATTCATACTACATTGTTAGCGTACTAGGCTAGCCTAGGCCTAAGGCCAGCTCTAATACACTTTAGTACTCCACCCTAACCTTAACCTCAACTACAGTCTTGCTAGGATGTTATTGTTAAGGTTAGGTTGGAGTACAAAAAAAAGTGAATTAGCGCCCCTCCACCTTATTATTCAAGTAAATAAAACACATGTGCAATTGACACAATGCACCCATCTACAGTCTGTTATAGTTGCATACAGTTAACACAGTCTAGGCCTATCTAAGGCTAGGACACTACTGCTAGGCCCTTCGTGGTGGACAATTATTGTTCGTTGACCAAATTGGGCACTTCCCAGTTGGCTTGGGTCGCTGTCATAGTGTCAAGAACCCGATTGAAGAGTAAAATGTTGTGCCTAGCCTTTTACAATAATCATAAAGGAAAACAAATATTTTCCAGCAAAATGAATAAAAACTACTGTTGCATTAACACTGATGTTTCAAATGGTCATAGTAATCACAAATTGCCGAATATTAAAACAAAAACACATTACCAACTCAAAACACCAATCCAGATAATTCTTCAATATGGCTCCTCTTTTTACATACGATAGATGGCGTTTATGAAGAGGGCGCTGTTGAGTTTCTAAATAGTAACTGTAGAATGTTTTCCGATTCTCGTTAAATGGCATCTATATCTGTATTAGTCAGAATAGTCTATTGTATATGATCTGGTTTCTCCTCCTTTTAGTGTAATTCATACGCAGTTTCTTCTTTTGAACAATATTTAGTTTCAGATTTGATGGTTTTTAGTATAGTTAAAAAATGTGCAGTTTATCGTCACTTCTGAATAAAAAAGGTAATTAATTAATAAATCATCAAAAAAGGTAAATAGGCCTACAGTGTTCAAATAAAGGACATATGGTACAACGTGTAGCATAGCTCTCAACGAAATTGTTCTGTAAATTAAGTAAATACATTGTGTAATAAAATGTCTCCGAGGATTCGCACCTGCGACCTCTCGCTTTCAGGGCGAGAATCATAGCCCTGTCTCTTATACACATCTAGATGTGTATAAGAGACAGAGTTTATTATATTAAGAATTTTTTTTAGCTCATCACAAACATCTTCAATAGCTTCATCAATTGTTTTTGTGCACGTGGTTTCAAGCATTTTAACGATTTCATTTCCCCGAATGACGTGCTTCTACATTCATTTAGCTCTGCCCAGATTAACAAATTTTCTTTGACAAAAAACTGTTGTAAGAAAGTATAATACATACTCCAAGTATTGAAATACACGCCATCGTGTTGGGATTCAATATATCGACATTAATTATGTCATCATCAGGATTGTTGTCTCCCATATAATATATGCCTACTGTAGGCCTACTTACTACATATGCACCTGTAGGCCTACTCGGTGAAATTCGAAAATAAAATATAAGATACTGTCGGTCTCTCCGACCGAGACGAAACAGAGTGCGATTCCTCATTTTTTTCAACCTTAACTGAATGTGAGATGTCTCAGAAAATTAGATGGTAAATACAACCAAACGGGAAAACAGGAGAATCGTTTCTTCCTTTAACTTTCTAACTTCAGGCCAGCAGGAAATAATTCCATAAAGCCGCATGATATGATATTTTAAACTTTTCTATTATATTCTGTTGTATGTCACAGTTTAACGGGTTAGTACTTGTGTTGTCGTAATTAATTGTAATTTCAGTTTTGATATTTTGTATGCATAATGTTCTATATACTGTACATGCATATAATATGCATTGATTTTGAAAAACAAACTTAATTTTTGTCGTAATAGTATTGTATCTGTTTACAAAAATAGTCTCTTACTATGTTTTGATAATTTTTTATTACTTTCTAAATAATATCGTATAGTTCAACATTTTATAATAACGTAGGAGCGTGGAACGTGGAATGTTCATATGAGAGGGCATATGGAGCGATGGAGTATAAATAAATTCACATTAGTTTTTGTATAGTGCGCCGTGCGCACTTCCGCCTTCGCCTCGGACTTTAAATTCATATTCATATTCGTTTTTCTGTAAAGTAACCTTTGCAATGGCCTGGTTTTCGTCATAAAATTCGTCGAAAGTTTGTAAACAATCAAACTTTAATTTCCATTTAACTGTTGGTTATGAATTTTTGCATACACATTATTGGTAATTTGTGCCATATTGTGCCCTAATGCTTGAAAACAATTTTGGATAAATACTAAAACAATATACGAGAACTGTATTACCCCCTCCATCCAAGCATAGAGTTATAATTAAAATAATTATAACTCCATGATCCAAGATCGGAATAATCTAGCGTCAACTCTGGTACAGTGAATTGTTTAATGTCTATTTTGATAAAATTAGCCTTCCGGCGTGAGCGTTTGTCTACTGTTTGACATTGTTTTGTTTTTTGGTTTTTTTTCTTGTTTTTTTATTTTTTTATTTTTTTGTGGCGAATTTTAACCACAGAAGTATTATAGTAATAGTTCACTAACAATGTGTGTTTTAACTCATCCATGCTTTCTGCGTTGGCAATTCCCTTGAATAACTGTACAAGTATATACCACATTTTTTTACTTTTTAGTGAACTTTCTAGGACAGGTCTTATCTCAGCTTTCTGTGTTGGCAATTCACTTAAATATCTTAACTAGAACTAGAATTATATTTCGTAAATTTATTTTACTTCTTAATATTTAGCTTATGACTCATCTCATCATTCCTCCACCGGATTTACTCTACCAGGTCAATTGCCAGACGATAGCATTGACTGTCTACTGCCCCCTTGAGAAATGTGTCTACACACAAAAAAATAGATGAAATTTCCGCTCGAAATCATAGGCGCTGATGGGGAAGGGCGTGAAGTTGAGGGAGGGGGTGGGGGAGGGGCTCGATGATCAGATGAGGGACGCTATAAAATAAGGTGATTTTAGGTGATTTTTTACTACTTGACCATGATTTTTTTGAGTGGGGGCGACTGAAAGGGAGGGGGTGGTGGTGGGGAGTATGAGTAATTTTTGGAGGGGCGTGCGCCACTGAAATTACAACGACTATCGGTTTAGATCAGGGGACAATAAATATTTTCTAACATTTCTACATGCATGAAGAATTTTTTTAAATATACATTTTGAGCTATCTTTAAAGAAAAGTCCTGGATTCTCCCCCTGTGGAAGTGGTAAGTAAAGGAACTTCACTGGCGAGGAGAAGCTAATCATTTTGTTAAAGAACATTGCGATGATAAGAATCTCGGTCCTCACAGACTGCAGAGGTTTGGTATTTTTTCCGCATCCGTCGCTTTTACCTGTAAATTCAATTTTGAAATTAAATTTCTCATTTTGAAGTAACATAATAGGCATAATATAATTGTCAACACTAATTTTATCATCAAATTGATCATTTTATATAGGCCCTACACCATGAAGATCTTAGCATGGTACACTATTTGCCTATTAACTACCTTCATCCATTTTAGTGGCGAACTTAAATTACAGTATAGATGCTTGGGCTGGGCTTGTTTTACAGGTAAACATAGCTATTGTAAACAAGAGAGATAACACATAATAATATTAATAAACGCCCTCATATTATTACTGACTGATACATTGACCAAGGTCATTCTTGGTGACATGATCATATAAGCATCTGATGGTAAAAATCAAACAGATTTTTTCCATGTTAATTAGTTTGATTGGTTTATTATTTCAGCCTGAATTTGCAGGACAGACGCGGAGAGGAGAGTTTTAAAGGTAGGTATAAATTCTGGGAGTTGTTATGAGTGAACCGAATGACGACGGGGAAATTTTTTCCTATAGGTTCTGTTGATTTTTAACGTCTCGTTTCTATGTTTCGAGGATGCTTCTGCATCTTTCGTATATCGTACGGTGTTTAGTTTTTGCCCTTGTTTTTCTTACATTTCATTTTAAGAACCCCCATTGGAAATGCCGTAAAACGCCTATAGATATGGGCTATCCTTTTGCACCTGCTTTATACTCATGCTCTTATTTTTATTTTCTTTATTGAGTTGGGTACTACAAAGAAGCCTGCACATTTTATTCGGTCTAGCTATATGACAATATCAATTTAGGCATGAGACTCAGTATATAATACATCGACAATACGTCAGACAACATTTATTTTTCAAAAATAAATGTTGTCAATCCGGTAAATAGTATTTACCGGATTGATTGTATACGGTACCGGTACAGTTGTAATGACTTTATTATAAAAGGTCTGGTCAAAATTTCAACATAACACCGTCGATTATCTATTCCTATCATATCATAAATGCTGGTTCACACTTAAACTCGCCTAAAAGGCTCAAAATTTCAAGATATTATACAGGCTAATGATAATTGAGATACTGTAAAACAGGCATAAAACAGGAAAATGAGATTCACTTTCCCTTTCCTGCCCATAATTGTATGCAGTAGTCGAAGGCCCAATACTTAACCGTTCACCCACACATTATAAAGTCCAGGTAAATATCAGTATCTTATCTTCGAAACCTTTCATGATTGCATTGCATCCATAGTCTAGGCCTGTAGTCTAGGCCTATATTATATCCAGATAGCCTAGTCCTAAAATTAATTTTTCCAAATCAAGCTCATATCCGTCCGCTTGACTGCATGGCAAACTATTTTACTTTACATGGTCAAGTAATCTCTCTCTTGCATCTGTATACAGACCTACAATCAGAATCCTTGGTTATATAAATTAATCAAGATGTAGTTCTAGCTTTAAAAATATAATATTATTTTCCTCAAAGACATATTGTACTTACCTGAAAATAAAATACATTTATAAAACTAAATGATACATCAGTACATGAACATTACACCGAGAAATAAGTTATCAATACATAATTTTAATTTAAGCTAATAAAGATCTAATCTAACGAAGACGATGGCGCATCTTGGTTAGATCTGGAACACTAATAACAGCAAAAATGAAATAATATTACTATGCCTAGTGTCAATACAAGGAATTAAATAAATATATGCCTAATAATAGTAATGATAATAAGGATAATTATGATAATGATGATAACGATAAATGAAAAAATAAACAGACTATATACAGTAGGCATTATGATTTGTTTTAAAAATATATATGACTTGTTATATCAAGTTACTGTGTAGCACCGTAAACAATATAAAAAAACAGGCCTAGATATTAACAGTCTGTCTCTTATACACATCTAGATGTGTATAAGAGACAGCAATGTACCTAATTCAAAGATAAAGGTTTCTGTCTATGAAAAGCATTAAAATGACGTAGAATGTGATGGAAATAATTTGTTTTAGTTAGTACTATTCTGTCGTCAACAAAACGAGAATAAAATACCTGATTCTATAAGTTTAGGAATAGAGTGTTATTAGTTCAGTCATAAGGCGAGTCGGTTGGCCGAGCGGTTTAGACAGGGGAACCGTGACATACAGCCATACTATCGGCGTTCATGGTTCCGGTGGTGAAACAAGTCTTCTCGGATAAGGACTCTAAATCGTAGGGCCAGTGTACTCAATTGGCTCGTGTGCACTTTAAAGAACCCAGTACATCATTCGAGAAGAGTAGGGGGTTACCCCGGTTTACTGGTCCATTTTCAGTCCCCGTCCTTTCCCTTTCCTAGCCCATAATTGTATGCAATAGTCGAAGGCCCAATACTTAACCGTTCGCCCACACATTATAAAGTCCAGGTAAATATCAGTATCTTATCTTCGAAACCTTTCATGATTGCATTTGATCCATAGTCTAGGTCTGTGGTCTAGGCCTATATTATATCCAGATAGCCTAGTCCTAAAATTAATTTTTCCAAATCAAGCTCATATCCGTCCGCTTGACTGCATGACAAAATATTTTACTTTACAAGGTCAAGTAATCTATCTCTTGCATCTGTATATAGGCCTACAATCAGAATCCTTGGTTATATAAATTAATCAAGATGTAGTTCTAGCTTTAAAAATATAATATTATTTTCCTCAAAGACATACTGTACTTATCTGAAAATAAAATACATTTATAAAACTAAAGGATACATCAGTACATGAACATTACACCGAGAAATAAGTTATTAATTGTACATATTGATAACTTGTGACCTATCTGTATGAAAAGTAACATTTTGTTCAATGATTGTATTCTTTTTTTTCTATATTTCACCACAGGTCTAACTGACCCGTTATTTTTTCATTCGAGCCATGCAGCGAGAAGATGCACCAGGTAAGTGAATACGGTGTACTTTATTACATCGAAATTACAGGTATAGTAGGCCTATACTAAGGCCTACAACAAAACGGTACCTTGGAAGCTGGGCGTGTTTCTCAATTCAAATTTGTATTCAAATTTATTCTATGATTGTTTTGATTATTTTAATTAGTATTCTACTTATTATCGTAATTATCAGTATTATTATTATTATTATTATTATTATTATTATTATTATCTCCGTTAGGAGTATTTTGTCAGTCGTTTTAGTGTGTGTGTGACGTTTTGGTGTTGGTGTGTGTGTGTGTGTGTGTTTGTTCAACATATCTCAAAAACGGCTGCATAGATCTAAGTGAAAGATACAGGGAGTGTTTGGTATGACACATTTAGGTCTGGGACGTTAGAAATGTAAATGACTCTCAAATTCACACCCAAATCTAGATCGTTACTAAAATTTAATATCGTCCTTGTAGCTTCGTTAAAGCATAGTTAAAGCTTCATTCAGATCAGTTGGTTCCTTTTGAAATATTTAATGTGAGCTGTTTTCTTTTAAATGGTCCTCACATCCACACCCCAACCTGAATTTTCATTAAATTTTAGGAGGCACATCATTGATATATGGTTTATGCTTGTCCAACGTCTTGGAAAAGATCCAAGCATGAAAAGTGCTGGGAAAAGCCAATATTAAATGGTAATAAATGTTATTTACATTTTATTTTGTCGACAGAAAACAACAGCTATTTTGGTCACATTACTTGCTCTTTCAATATGCCTACATGTATCTTTTTTGTCAACTTCTACGTGTTCTCCGACGGCACCGTTTAGGTCTATATACCAGAAACGTACTCACAACGCAACGTATGTAGGGCCTATCCACATTATTTGTAATCACCATCAGCATATCTAATTCAGCAGCTATAACCATCCTACATGAGTTTTTCATGTAGTCATGATGACGATGATCATGACCGTCTTTTCCTTATGTCTTTAATAATCAATATAATTGTCATCATCATTATCGTGTTCGTCATCATCTTCATCATCAGGAACGACATTATCGTCATCATCATCATCATCATCATAATTCTCATCAACAGCATTATGATTTGTTTCTCAGTAATTCAATGAGATTTTCAGAAATAAGTTTAATGAATTTATTTTATGATATGACAATGTTATAATAATAATAATCAATGTAAATGTCATAGGGCCTATGTCATCCCCATCCCCCGTGCATTTTTAGATTCATCATCAATTTATTATTATTCATATCATTATCACCAACACACTACCGTTATAATAGTAGTTTTCATTTTTATATCAAATGATTTATTTTTATTTGAAAAATACCCCTAATTTATAATGATGTGTACAGTAAGGTGACTCTTATACTGTTAATAATAATAATATTTAAAGAGAATAAAAAACCAACATTGATGTATTCATACCAATTGCTTTTAATTATAGACACACTTTGAAATTTATTGATGAGGTCATTCATCCAGCATCATCTGTTAATCCGCCTCAAAGAACATGTTCGTCAGAGGTAGTAAGAAACGTCGCATTCATCAAAACCCACAAGACAGCAAGTACTACAGTATCACGTATTGTTGAACGTTTTGGTTATCTAAACAATTTATCGTTCGTTTTGAACCGAAATATTCCAAAAAACGGACATTTTTATTACATTTCGTTGAATGAAATACTAAGAAAAGGATATTTTCTACCACAGAGAGGTAACTGGTCCACCGAATATTCCAATTACAGATACAATATCTCTACGGTACACGTTCTTTACAATAGGACAATCTTCGAAACCTTCATGGACAACAGGACGAAGTATATAACTATTTTACGCAACCCTATAGATCAGTTTGTATCAGCATTTGGATATTTTTCCTTCAAGAAAGTAGTGAAAATTGCAAACGATTCAAAAGCACTGGACATATTTATGGAAAGGCCAACGTTTTATCGAAACAGATTTGGAAATTCTAGCGCCCTTTGGAGGTACTCGCGCAACAATCAAATGTTCGATCTCGGACTTGAACACAAGTTCCATACAAATGTCACATTGGTAAAGGAAAAGATAAAAGAAATTGATGAAGAATTTGATTTTATACTAATAGGAGATTACCTGGACGAATCATTGCTTATTCTACGAAAAATGTTTTGCTGGAGTTTCGAAGACATAATGTATGCTTCACAAAATCGTCGGAAAACTAAAAAGGAAAGCATAGGGGACGATTTGCAACGTAAAATCCGCCAGTGGAATGGTGTTGATGCGATGTTGTATGATCATTTTAATAAAACACTTTGGAGAAAGATTGCTGAATATGGAAACGATTTTGAACGAGATCTTGAACATTTGCGTAATCTTAATCAACAGCTTATTGATAATTGCACCAGCGGAGAAGTTACGAAAATACATTTTAGAGGGTTCAAACAGACTAAATTTCTTCTAGCTAAGAACGCAACTGACCTCTGCAAACTCGTTATTGACACAAGAAGTACACTCTTTAGACGTATTTGGGACGCGCAGAACATTTTGAAACCATCACGTAACTGACGTCATTATCGAAAGTTAGAATGAATGAAAATCATTTTGGAATTAGATGCTACAGTAGTCACTTTCTATTTATTATACAGTACAATATTGTTTTCGAAGTCATACTATTACTAGCGACTGGTTTTGCCAAATTTTGTATTCTGACATTTTCTCTTCGGCGGACGAGCCTGCGATGACAAAAGAATGGCCCACAACATTGCATTCTGTCCAATGTGTTTTTATACTATAAAGTCAGGCTCCGGAGGAAAAAAAAATTTTGATATGTTGTAGAACTGATTTTTCTAAGACAGAAAAAAGGTGTTAAAAAAAAAACTGGGTAACGGTGAATGAGATACAGATTTTTTAATATTTAAAAACTGGGGGAAAAGGGGGCGTTAACTGCCCATTTTTACACCTTATTCCCCCAGTTTTTAAATATTTCAAAATCTGTATCTCATTCACCGTTACCCAGTTTTTTGTCAAACAACTTTTTTCTGTCTTAGAAAATCAGTTCTACAACATATCAAAAAATGTTGTTCCTCCGGAGCCTGACTATAAAGTCAACACAGCGGTCGCTCTCTAGAGTAGGCCTACATACCGTACATCCGTCCTGTGCCTGAAAACCAAATAATAAATGGGGAAAACAAATATTCGAATTTCAGTGGCATTAACTTTTAACATTTTCACATTTAATCACCTCTTCTTTAAGGCACTATGTACGACTCCATTAAGTTTCATGATGATCATTTCGTTAGTTTACGTAATCTGTATTAATGTGATTATTTTAACTTTCTGTGACACTGACCTTTGAATTTTTACTGCAGCATTTGATCACGCCTTTCTTAGACTCTCATTGTCAAACAGAAAAATATCAGTGAATGAGAATTAAACCTCCTTTGCGGAGGTAAAAATGGTCAGCATGTTGTGATACAATGTACGATGTTTATTCAATTATTTATTTATTTAGTAATTTTTGCATTTAAAGTATTTGCATTTGTATTTTATTGTTTAGGCCCAGGGACAAGGATATGCCAAACAGCGAACCTAATCATTTTCCTAAGTGGCATATCCTTTCATAAGACAAACCTAAACGCAACATGCTCTAGACTAAGTCGCAGCACTGACTTCACTAAAGAATCACATCAACAACAACAACAACAAAAATGAATATCAGAAATATATATTAGGCCTAACCATGTCCATTATACAGTGTATAGTGAAATAAAGATCCAGGTTTTCTATCAGTGTACAGGATGTAAGTTAATAAGAATGAGCTAATAATTACACTTTGTTTATTTTAGTTGATAGTCAGACTAAACTAATTCTTCCATGCTCATATCAGCACAAGTTCTGGAGCTACCGAGCAAACAAACAATATCACCACTCCCATGCTTTTGGAGTCCGTACTGGGCCCAAAAAATCCGCAATGAAAATATAACGTGTTTCATGCCACTCCTGATTTCGAGATAACGAATAGTATTTCTGTTTCTGTCACCGGGCGCTGGTTTTCAAGCGTCCTTTGCCATTTCTGCAGCCATTTGTAGCCGGTTCCTGGTGTGGTTTCATTGCCTTCCGCCGGTTCGACCATTAGGTCCACAGGTACTGCTGGCCTCTCGACCGAACATCATCATGAACAGTATCCCTCCCGTTGATTCTTGTGGTGTCGTCCGGTAAGCGAAAGTTGCATATGGCAACATCTCGTCCCAATTGCTTTGGTCGGAGCATTCGGAGTATGGTTGTAGCATAGGCCTAATTGTTACCATAGGCCTATCCACTAAAGTCCTTTTGAATCGTTCAACTAATCCATCCGACTTGGGATTATACGGAGTTGTCCTAGTTTTGTGGTCCTCTATCAAAACATACATTTCTGCAATAACGGCTGACTCAAAATTTCGTCCCTGATCAGAGTGAATCTGCTTAGGAACCCTGTACCGCAACACAAACTCTTCCACAAATTTCTTAGTCACAGTCTCGGCACATTGGTTTGGAAGAGCGTATGCTTCCATCCATTTGGACAGGTACTCCCCTACCACTAAAACGTATTTGTTGCCTCTAGTTGACTGTGAAAATGGTCCTAGGCAGTGGAGTAGGTATGGGCAGTGCAGCCATACACATCTAGATGTGTATAAGAGACAGATTCAAACGTGTTTGGACGGCTGTCCTTGCACTTTTTTGCATTCGACGAAATGATGATACAGCAGCCGATGCACCAGAAAATGCCCCGAATGAAGATCAGACAACAAACTCCCCAGCTTCGCCTCTAACATGCACCAGATCCAAACGAAAGTCTTCGGTGTTTCATACACTGGCTGATCAACCTCTAAAGACAAGATCCACTCCTCGAAAAAAATATTTGAATAAGTTCCAATTCAACTCAGCACCTGGACACTTTGATGTGCCTAGCAGCTATACTTCAGTTTCACCTGGACATGTGTGTCCATCCGTCGGCTATCCTAATAGAGCATCACGTCATCTGCACCAGATTCTTCCGCCAATTAAACATCTAGATGCAAAAAGTGTCTCGTCTACGAATGTACCATCAGTTTTACCTGGACATGTGTGTCCATCAGTCGGCTATCTTGATAGAGCATCACGTCATCTGCACCAGATTTAGAGTCTACGTTATAACTTGAACTGTGTTTTTTGGGGGGGTTTTGGGGGGGGGTGGGGCAAAGGTGAGACACTGCTAATAATGTTCTTATATTGTAAGTAAACTATAATTATGGTTTTGTCGCGCCCCACATTCCTTTTGTCATTATGACTTCGTTATTCCCACGTTATTTTATCTGAATCAATAAAGAGAGAATTTCATATCAAAATATTTTATCTATTTTTTTTTTCTTACCCTAAAGCAAAATGTTGAAAGGTGTAAACCTACTGTCGCACCCTTTTAAATCCTGTGACCCAACATAAATTGCCATACCTTCCCACGACCCAATGTCTCCAGTTACCCCACCCTTCAGAAATGCCGTATCAAAAACCAGCTATTTATACAACATTATATCGAAATATTGTGTGGTGTCTCTTAACAACATGTTGTGAAATATTGTATCAAGAACTCTGCAATTTGAGTACAATTGGTTTTAACATCATCATCATTCAATTTTTATTACTTTCGATATAAGACTCTATTTTTTTTTTTTTTTTTTTTTTTGTTTTATTTTTGGCTTTTGTAGACTTCTTAATGGAGCAATGTTTGGGCAATGATGCAGCTGATGAGCACTGCATATTAACTGACCCACAATTTCTGTGTCTTGCCTTCGCAATTCACTTTGAACAACTGTCCATTACCAGATTGTTGACTTTTAAGTGAACTTTCCAGGACAGGTCTTATCTAGCAGCTTTCTGTATTACAAATTCATTTTAATAACTTAACAAGGACAGTTATTATCCAGCAAGCTATCATATATTCCGTAAACTTGCTTTTTATTTTTATCTTTAACTTATGACCCATCCTATCATTCCGCCACCGGATTTACTCTTACAAGGCCAGCAATGTGTCACTACTGGGGGAGTAGACACAAAAACGGGCTGGGATGTTCAATCAAAATAGTGTTGGTTATACGTATGCTTCGTACCACGGTACAGTGCACTAAAATGTTTTTGAAAGCATATTTCTAAAGCAATTGATAGGATAATTTTAAAGTTGCTTCAACTAAATTGTGAGGGGCCCGTGACTAACTCGCTGCGCCGCTGGAAATAGTAATTTTATAAAACATTTTTGTAACAAGTTTAGTTTCGATGTTTTCACAGGGATCCTTTTATTTGTGTAGTACCAACACTTAAATCCTTTTTTTAGACCCAGATGCGATCTGACGACCCTCAAAAGTTCGTCCACGACTCAAATATGGGTCGTGACCCATGGGTTGCCGACCGTAGGTGTAAAAATGCATAGAGCTGTCCCCCTACACTTTTTAAAGACTACGATATTGAGGTCGGTTATTGTTCATGGTGCTTTTGTCATTGGACAAGGCAGAAAATTGATACTTGGTAGAATCTTGTGGCAGTGAATGACTACTCTCCAAATGAGAGGAGAAAGATGGATCAAATGACCGGGAGAATAACGTTTTATAAATAACGGTATGTAAATAAGGCGCTGTTTTACCTATGAATTCACTAGTTGTGTTTCCTTGGTGAGTGTTGGCCTAAGAATCAATTCTATTCTTGTTGAGTGCTTTACCGATTCTTATTTTGTTTACTTGGTACACACTTTCAATGGAACATAAAAGGTGCGGTACTCATTCCGTTTTCGTCCACTGTCTTCTATCAAGACTATACCACTAAAAGAAAGGGTGATGTCCACTTTTTAAAATTTTCTTCACATCCTACATCAAGTAGGCCTACACTCGCCACTTACAGAATGGAATGATGCTTTATAAACACTTTTATGGGACTTTGGGAGTGTAGTTGTTATTTTAGTCAGAAGAAATCCTGCAGTGACAGGGTTCATTCACATGCCAACAATTAAAACTGGGACGGGACAAGTGGCATAAGGACGTCATGGGGCCGGGGCGGAAAGGTGTGTGTAGGGGTGTGTGTCTGTGTGTGTGTGTGAGGGGGATGCATGTAAGTGTCACAAAAGTGGCAGGGGAACTGTATGAATTTAACTCCCTGTCGTGAAAAGTTTATGAATAATAATTAGGCTGAAAAGACTGCATTCAATGCCAATACCGTTCAACAACCAGGAATTATACTGTTTATTGCTAGTTGTGGGTGTCCTACTGGTTTCAATGTCAAAGCTCTCTAGTAGTGTGCAAGGTGTTAGTAGAAGGGGATACTGAGGCCCTTTATTTATTTGGACTGGGGGCACGGGCTTCGCCCTCCGATAGGCGTTCGCTACTATATGGAACGCTAAAAAACAGACAAACGTCAACAGCTTACATGATACTACGTAATTGGCACCCCTAGTTTTCAAATAGTATTGTCCTGATTGAAGACTGGTTAGCACATTTTTACGTTTGGAATTAATATTCTGTATCATGTTCCTTCAATGTGGATACGTTATTTTTTAAGTTTACACTGAAAGTAACACTATCGCTAGATTTCTTTGACGGATCGGGATTTACCATGGACACTACAGCCAAGAAGACATTTTGCCCGCACTTTATTCTCTTCAGGGTACGTAGTGATAGACCTACATGTTCTGAACTAAAATTGCATTCATTTTTCTTCTTTTTCTGGTCATAGTTTTAATGGATATACACATAGTCGAAATAACACTAGATTCTATCTGGAAGAATTATAATACTGCTCGCTCGAGATGTCATAAAAATAGCGGCTAATCATGCTCATGTTAAACGCATACAGTATTTGTAAAACTAATCACGATCATAGGCCTACTGACCACCACAACCACCACTCTACAACACATAAACGAAATTAAAATAACAATGTACTTTTTAAATGTAGGCCTAATAATTATATTATAATATAAATGGAAAAAGTATTAAATATTCTACGTGTTTATTTTAACTCACATTATTATTAGGGAATTCGCCTATCTGTTTACCAAAAAAAAAAAACACCAATTTTTACGATGTATAATCCGAGTTATCGAGAATTCTCAATTTAAATATTATTATTAACACAATAGTTCTTCAGAATATAAATGCTATTGTGCAACTTATATCGTTTAAATTACACTTAAGTATAAAGGCCTGTTTATACTTGCAACGATAACGATAACAATAAAAAGGTAAAGGGCAATTGTTCATAGGCCTATAGAAAATAACAGAAATAACAGAAGTGTTTACACTAGAATGATTCGATAACGAGTTATCGGTTATGCGATAACAAAATATTTTGACAAATCAAATCAGATGACGTCATAATCATAGAAAACGTTAAAATCGTAGTAGTAGCAACGATTTTATCGTTTTGTCCATGATTATGACGTCATCTAATTTGATTTGTCGAAATATTTTGTTGTCGTATACACGATAAATTGTTATCGAATCGTCCTAGTGTAAAAACTTCTCCCAGTTCTTTTATTTTCTACATGAACAATTGCTTTTTAGCTTTTTATCGTCATCGCTATCGTTGCAAGTATAAACAGGCCTTAATACATTCAACTTAAGTACAATCGTATTTGACTTTATTAAATTAAGTAGTCAAATTGCGTTTCGCTGGAATGTGTGGAAAATAATTGTTATATTTTCTCTACAGAAAGGAACAGCTCTTTTCATTATAGCTGCTCTTTCAATATCTGTTTGCTCAATGATATACATGACTGACAAGACGCTGTTTGGATACCCGTAAGTATATATGATCATCATAATCATATTTTTTAAATGTTAAATTTTTTACAATAGCCCAAACGGGTTACTGGTATTCTACCTTATGTTACAACCACCACAACTACAAGTACTTGCAACCTACCTTATTACCACCATCACCATCATCATCATCCTCATCCATCATCATCATCATCATCACCATCATCATCACCATTAATCATCATCATCATCATCATCATCATCATCATCATCATCATCATCATCATCATCACAATCCATCACCCTCATAATCATTAGTGTACCACCAGCACAACCACAACAAAAATTCTCTTCACCATTACCATGACATCAGTAGGGCCACCCTCGTGACTTCCAGTGGCGTAGCTACGGGCAGTGCAGCCAGTGCAAAGCACTGGGGCCCATGGCTATTTGGGGGTCAATTCATCAATAGACTGAATAATAACAATTTAAATTAATTTTCACCTTAATATTTTTGAACAATAAAATGGCCAGTGGGCCCCTCAATAATATTCAGTTTTTAGGGGATTCATTATTAATTATACTGTGGTGATATCAAATGTGGTGCATTCAAGGGTACTCCAGTCGGCCCGGCTCCACCCAACTTTTTTTCAAAAATTATAAAAGAAATGGGAAAAAAGGGGGAATTACATCAAAATTTAAGTCTGAGAGGTGCTATAATCATAAATTTTCTTACCTCAGTTTCAACCATGATGGGGTTGAGGTGGTCTTCCTCCCTGGCCCCTCTATTTCGAATTCCCTGACCTGCCACTGCAATTGTTAAATTTCGTGTGCCGCCAATTTTCCCGATTAGTTTAGAACAGCTGCTGAGACCGAATATACCCTAAAATAGTTACGAATCCGATTACAATTGGTAATTATTACTATAGCCTAGGCCTTTAGAAGTAGGGGGTTAAAGAAGCACTTCTTACAATGAATTGTCCGAGAACTTCAGGGAATTCCCCTATCACATCAAAAGGCCCGGCAAATAATCTTACACTGAAGCCCTTTCGCACCTAGCTACGCAGCTGGAGACTTCCAGACACTTCCAACCAAAACCGACTCGGGGTTTGGTCGGATGTGTCGAATTGTTTTGGAACGATTTGCTTTCTGTCGACTTGGTTTGGTTCGATTTGAGTTTGGCTCGAGTTATTCTTGGTACGAATTGGTTTTGGATCGAGTTGGTTTGGGTCGGGTTGGCTTTGATACGAAGTGACTGGACACCCATCCTGCTACCACTAACACCCACTGAAACCATAGTGACATCATAGGGCTGAAATTGGTGTAATAGTAATAGCTGTGCTTCTGTGTATTTTACTTTAAAAAGCGTTACCGGTAAGTGACTTAAACAACTACCAGCATTTATTTATTATCGCATAAACTTCACAAAATCTATACAAATATTTAACCATTTTGTTTAAATACTTTGATTTATAGGTACAAATCAATATTTATCAATAAAGACACATTCCAACCAGCAACGTCTGTTCGTCCTTTACAAAGAACATCTTTGTCTGAGGTAGTAAGAAACGTCGCATTTATCAAGACCCACAAAACAGCTAGTACTACAGTATCACGTATTGTTGAACGTTTTGGTTATTTAAACAATTTATCGTTGGTTTTGAACAAAAATATTCCTAAAAGTGGACACTTCTATTACGCTTCGTTGGATGAGAAAATAGCATCGAGATATCTTTTACCACCGAGAGGTGTCAAACACACCAATTATTCAGACTTCAGATACAATATTTCTTCAGCGCACATTCTTTACAACAGGGCAATATTTCAAACCTTTATGGACAGCAGGACAAAGTATATAACTATTCTGCGAAACCCGGTAAATCAGTTTGTGTCAGCATTCGGTTATTTTGCCTTCAAGGAAGTAGTGGGAATTGAAAACGATACAGTAGCACTCGAATTATTCATGGAAAGTCCTGTATATTATCGTAATAAATATGAAAAATCTAATGCACTTTGGAAATATTCGCGCAACAATCAAATGTTCGATCTTGGGCTTAGGCATGAGTTTCATGACAATGTCACATTGGTGAGAAGGAAGATAAAGGAAATTGATAAAGAATTTGATTTCATCCTGATAGGCGATTACCTAGATGAATCGTTGCTCATTCTAAAAGAAATATTTGGCTGGACTTTCGAAGATATAATGTATGCTTCTCAAAATCGTCAGAAAGCAAAAAAGAAAAGCATGGGAGACGATTTGTATCGTAAAATCCGCCGGTGGAATAGCGTTGACGCGATGCTGTATGACCATTTTAATAAAACACTTTGGAGAAAGATTGCTGAATATGGAAACGATTTTGAACGAGATCTTGAACATTTGCGTAATCTTAATCAACAGCTTATTGATAATTGTACGAGAGGGGAAGCTACAAAAACTCATTTAAGGGGGTTTAAGCAAGTTAACTTTATTCTAGCCAAAAACGCGACCGATATCTGCCAACTCGTCATCGACACCAAGAAAACCCTCTTTAAGCGAATTTGGGACGCGCAAAATGTCTCGATCGCATCAGAAGAGGGCATTTCTTATGGATCTTTGGGGGGCTAGTCACGTGTGGTATTAGTGCTATGTCAGATCGTGACGTCAAACAAGTTATATATATATATGTATGTAAGAGACAGTATATATACTTCATGCAAATATTTGTACTGCAAAGGCTTTCAATAAAGACAAGGCAATCATGCATGCATTTGGTTATTTCGTTATATAATTACTTTTAACCGATCCCACACACAAAGAGTGAAGGACATTCATTTTCTAAGTATGAATTGGATATTTCTATGCCATTTTCCAAAATTCGCGCACCAAATTCGGATAGGCCTATGCCCTTTAGTCCCCTCCCCCAATCATGTATTCACCAATGAAGGGGAATAAGGAATCGGCACGTTTTCGGGCATCCAGTTGTAATACAAAATTTTCTCACCAACCAAGTGTTGGGGCAGAGTGCATATGAACTCTCGTTCCCAGGCAATGGCGGATTTAGGGGGGAGGTGGTGAATAGGATTTGAAAAGAAGGCTATTGACGAAACACAGTGATCAAAACAACAGAGACAAAACTTGGCGGCACATCAGAATAGTATTGTTTGAAGGTTTGCATGGCGAAGTAATAACATATATGTTTAAGCTTGCGGTACACCACGTAGGTAGTTCTGAAAAGAACTGTTGTAGTTGATAAAGTCTCGACGTTTCGATTGAGTTGCTTCAATCGCCTTCAGGAAAATAAATGTAGTTTTTATCCTAGAATTTTATCATCAGAAGAGTCCTGTAGGCCTATGACTAGCATTATTTGTAGGACAATCGAAATGTATTTTTATTAGCACACTGTTCTTTGGTTAAATTAAGTACGAATGTCATTGACGATAAAACCCAATAGACTTAACTAAAGTTTAATTATGTTTACTTATGATTTAACCACAGTGCGCTTCTTCTTCTACCATGAGTCTCAAATCATGCATTAGGACTCTGCAAACATAACAATTTAACACATCCTTTGAGTTGCTACAGATAAGATTTCAAATCTAGAACAGGGGCCTTTCGGGAGCCTGGACAGGGGCTTCCCGGCCTGCACATAATTATTCTATCATTCAAGACCTTAGTTTCTGCGCGGTATTGAGATGTGCAAGGAAGTATAAACTAAAAAAAATTAATTTTAATAAATAAAAGGAGGTATAAAATAATAAATTTATTTTTATATTGAGTATGGATCATCCTAGCCTACTACTATTTGCACCACTGCCACCAATGAATGCCGGTCAATTCGAGCGGATGTCAGTTCGAGCGGATGTCAGTTAGAGTGGATGCCAGTTCGAGCGAATACATTTAGTGCGAACTACAACAAGGTATTTGTTTGTTTTAAATGCAAAAAATGCTCTGTGCACTAAAGTTCTGAAATGTTTTTGGAACTTTTTGATAATTATTCCATGTTTTAATTACAGTCTTGGCAAATCCAACTAAAAGATGGCCGCTAGAAAGCACTTAGGCCCTATATTTTAAAACTATAGAATTTCGCACGTAGAATTCACGGTTTGTGTCTCCAGTTAGTTGAATTATATAGTGTTGTAACAGTATCAGTAGATTTACGATTTAGGCCTATATTTGTAAAAGGGAGTAACTGTAAATGTAATTTTTATTCACCATAGAAATTTAAATAATTTTTACGTATATGGTATCAGAAGGTGCACAAATCATTGGTGTAGTAGTGTGACACAGGGGCGGATCCAGTGACGTGTAGGGGACACGGGGAGGCACGTTCCCCCCTCGTCTTGCCACTAAATTTTAAAAATGTCAATGCATATTAATGTTATGTGCTACTCACTTTAACTATTGTGAAACTTTTGTGCCCCCACCCCGCCGTTTGAAAAATTCTGGATCCTCCAGCCAATACGACTTTTTATACATAAGTCTATAGGCTTCTCCCCCGGAACCCACCGGGGCTTTTCCCCTGGCTCCAGTGGCGTATCTAGAAGTCTTAAATGGGGGTGCTGATTGGGGGCGCGAGGTGAAGTAGGGGGATTCGATGATCAGTTGAGGGGTGCTAACTCGCAAAATAATGTAATTTTAGGTGATTTTTAACTACTTGCAATTGATTTCTTTAGGTTGGGGGGGGGAGTATTTTTGGAGAGGCGTCCGCCCCCCTGCGCCCCTGTAGATACGCCACTGCATTTAGAGAGTAGTCATTCACTACCACAAGATCCTACCAAGTATTAATTTTCTGCTTTGTCCAATGACAAAAACGCTATGAACAGTACCGTAACCGACCTCAATATTTAATTTAGTCCTTAAAAAGTGTAGGGGACGGGTCTATACATTTTTACACCTACGGTCGGCAACCCATGGGTCACGACCCATATTTGAGTCGTGGACGAACTTTTGAGGGTGGTCAGATCGCATCTGGGTCTAAAAAAAGGATTATGTCACCTTGGCGAATTTATTCGCGCGAATGGAAAGCGTCGGTTCGCTTCCTGAGTTCTGATTAGTTGCGCATTTTTTTCGCTAGCAAAAACTCCTATAGAAATGTGAATGCGCATGAGCCGACGCTTTCCATTCGCGCGAATAAATTCGCCAAGTGGAAAACAGGCTTAAGTATTGGTACTAAACAAAACAAAAGATCCCTGTGAAAACCCCCACGTACCCCCTAGATACGCCAGTGCCTGGCCAGTGGCGTCGAGAGCCAGTAAGGGTCCTGGGGCAACACCTCACATGCCCCCCCCCCACTTCACTTGGGACCCCCACTCGGCCGCTCCCCAAATTAAGTCTCCTCTTAAGACCCTATTTGTCCAAACCCACATACATGAATATGATTCCATGTGATTATTTTTTTGCAATGTAGATGTATCAGAATAATCTGATGAATAAACGATAATAATTATATATATAATACAAGTATATACATACCACTTTGCATGCAGTGAGCAGTACATATAAAATCAATCATAAAGATTAAGATCAGTATCAATTTTTCATCTTGGTCCGGGCCCCCAATAGACCCGCGCCCCGGGGCAGCGACCCCCTGATCTCCCTCTTGACGCCACTGTGCCTGGCTCCCAGGCAAAGCCTGACTCGGGGCCGAATGCAGATTGTTAGCTCAAAATTTACAGTAATTCGTACTAACTTGCACAGGCTGTTGTTCGCACAATTGAATCTTTTTTCTGCTCGAACTAGCATCCACTCGAGGTATATTTGGTATAACAAAACGGACTTCGGTCATGTTCCAACTCCAGAGCTATAATCAGTGGCGGATCCAGTAAACGGAAAGCTGAATACTAATAAATTTTCCGCATATACCATAAAATATATGAATTCCCATTGAATGAAAAAAAAATTCACCATCAAAACACTAATTTCAATATGAATTAAATGAACAATCCTGTCTAGGAATTACTCCCGCAAAAAAAAAAAAAAAAAAAAAAAAAAAAATTGGTTAGTGTGGGAATCGAACACACAACCTCCAGGTTTGCTATTCATTATCCACCATCAACTAAATCGCCTTTAAAAAAATTGGTTTGTGTGGGAGTTGAACACACAACCACCAGGTTTGATATTCATTATCCACCTTCAGCCTTAAAAAAAAAAAAAAAAAATTGGTTCGTGTGGGAATCGAACACACAACCTCCAAGTTTGCTATCATTATCTACCATCAACTAAACTGCCTTAAAAAAATAAAAAAAATAAAAACTGGTTTGTGTGGGAATCGAACCCACGACCTTAAAAAAAAAATTAAAATTAAAAAATTAAAAAAAAAAAACTTGCCCCGTGTGGGAATCGAACCCACGATCGCTGAGTTTACTACTCCTGATCCAGCATGACTAAACGCAGGGAGGTAAACCGCGGTCCCTAAGCCATAAATGCGATAAACCTAGTACCACACCAAGTACCAGTTAGTCAACTCTATTACTACTATAAAAAATTCTTTGTATATATACACTACAGGTTAATATTACGCATGGTCATGGTGTCAAAAAAATGAGCCGTAGGCCAAGAGGGTTTATTTTTTGTCTAAAAATGTATAATTAAATTTATAATCGATTTATAATTGTTACCATCTCCATAACTTACACACTTTTTTTTAAATAGACAAAAATGTTGGAAAAATTCATTATGCAAATTAGAAAAAATAGACCAATCATGTTACGGGATTGAATGTATTGTACTCGTTGATGACGTCGCGAATTGCGAAATAACAACAAACAACAACCTTTCATGTCCCAGCAGCCTGGGAACCAGTCAATTCGAGCGGTTGCCACTTTGAGCGAAGGCGAATTCGAGCGGATTTTTTTTTTCGAGCGGATGCTAGTTCGAGCGGAAGAAGATCCACTTTTGCGAACAACAACCTGTGCGAGTTATATACGAATTACTTTAAAATTTCTATTATTTCTATTTTTGTATAAGCCAAGCTTTGCCTGAGAGGCAGGGGGAAAGCCCCAGTCGGTTCCGGGGAAGACGCCTATAGCCTTATGTATAGCAAGTCGTATTTAATGGATTTTTAGGTTAACAAACAATAAAGTTCTATTTGTTCTGAATGTATATGGTAAGTGAATCCTATTGGGAATAGGAATTTCCTTTATAGCCTGCCATCTCTATCTTAGAGTAAATAAATAAATAAACAAACAAACATACCCACATTCATAAAAATAATGATATATCTTAAATTATATTATAACTTATATACTATTATATACTATACTACTATAACTTAGTCAATGTTATCCTTTTCACAAGTTAAAAAAAAAACAGTGGGTTTTAAACTTTAGAAGAAAGTTGGTATGATGTCATTATTACTGTACTGTTGATACTTGTCACAGGGGCGGATCCAACATTTTTCAAAGGGGGGAGGGGGCACACAACAGTTCCAGAATAGATAAATGAGTAGCACATACCATTAATATGCATTAACATTTTAAAAATAGTGAAAAATCGCCCTTGTCTCACACTACTACACCATTCATTTGTGCACCTTCTGACACACATACATACGTAAAAATAATTTAAATTCCTATGGTGATTAACAATTACACAATCAAAGTTGCTCCCATTTACAAATATAGGCCTAAATCGTAAATCTATAAATACAATTACAAAATTATATAATTCAATTACAAAT